TGTATAATACATGTACACCCGTGCGAAGCCGGGGTGAGTAGCTAGTTATTTATAACACTAACTTTTATGGGTATGTGTATAAAACTTTACAGTAAAATACCAAAGGATATATTACCAAGAAACTCAATACAATTTCTTTTTTTTAAACCAGTTTATTTACAATATGGGTGTTTATGTCTAACATTAAATGAAAATCCCGTGCATGAACAACTATTGCCATGCACGCTCGTCATTCAAGTAATCGTTTAGTGAGTGGATTTGCTTAGTAAATATGTTTTAAATATTCTGATGTATTCATTGAATCTTCATAATTACGACGGCCTGAGCCGAGGTTCGAACCCCTAGAGATGCCCTCAGACTAAAGTCGTATCCGTCAGGCGGGAGTTAGCCTTTAGCCGCTCCATAAGTCCTTCCTTTGGTTTGGAGTGCCATCTGCACTCGCCCCCTATCGTCCGGTGAAGCTATAAAGGCCAGCTGCGGCCAACGGCATTAGAGTAGCCCGAAAAAATCTTCATTAAATCTATACATATAAATAAAATTGGAGTGTCTGTTTCTAATATTGAAATAACCGTTTTTTACTACATCCATATGAATATAAATACGGTATATACACCAAAATTACTTTTTTTTACAATTTTTGTCTGTCTGTCTGTTTATTCCGGCTAATCTCTGAAATGGCTGGACCGATTTTGACGGAACTTTTTTTTGGCAGGTAGCTGATGTAATAAGGAGTGACTTAGGCTACTTTTATTTTAGAAAAGTAAAGTTAAACTCCACGCGAATGAAGTCGCAGGCACAGCTAGTTCTAAATAAGCACAGCCAGGAATCGTTCAGCATTCACAACTGGTAAGACTGGATCTAAGTCTAGCATAACTGGTTCAATAAAACACGATTTTATAATTATTATAATGAAAATATTAACTTCTCGCGTACTTTACAATATTTGGTGTTACGTAAATGTAATATAACGTAATATATTACATGATTGTAATTTTTTTATTAATATTACATCCGGCAAACGTCATTCTGTCTGGGGAGCATCGTTAAGACAATGAAGTCAGTCTGTCAATTTGTGCAGATTTAATATATAATAATTATAATAATAATAACTCTTTATTGCGCATACATAAACATAGGACAGATATAAAACAATGAAAATAAATGTTTTACAAAAGGCGGTCTTATCGCTATCAGCAATCTCTTACAGACAACCCGGTGCTAACAGAGAGTATTTACATAAACAGAGAAGGTAGGAGGCGCACTAAACACTCTATTTATTATACAATTATAGATAAACATACATTTTATAAACATAAATAAATAAACTTATACACCAATACATACAATATACATACATATACTACATAATAATGGACGAGATATATATATACAGGGTGTAAGGTACAGTTTGGCCAAAACGAAAACAGCTGATTAAGATGAATGGTCTGAATCAGATGGCAAAGTAGTTTCCCATCGGAAATGCACCACAGCCATATAGTTAACGATTCTTAATTGTGACGCCTCGCAATGTGAATTTACAACGAGAAATATCGCGGTGACACGTCAGTTCAGAACTGATCAGCGCGGGGAAGGATTTTAAATCGAATATTATTATTTCTTTATTTATTTATTAATAATAAAAAAAAAATTTACATGATTTTAAAAGAAAAAAAAATTCAGGTAAGAATTTCCACTGGTTTTCAGTTCAGAATAATGGTCTGAATTCACAGTTTCAGTTTTTGCCAACCTGTCCCTTACACCCGGTATATATGCGAGCAATACCGTCTTTACCATAAGGGCGGGGCTCGTGCCTAGGGCCCCCATTCTCAGGGGGCCCCCGAAGGACAGTCAATTTTTCTCACACATTCATTCTCAAAAGATTTTTGTCGGGCACACTACACTTTTTTCACAAATCGGTGATGTTATTGTTCTTATATCTAATGAGCTTTTCTTTTACTTTCCAAAAGGGCCCCTTATTCTTGTGTGCCCAAGGGCCCCTAGTTTAAGACGGCGGTGTAAGCATTTCTTAATGCCACATCATAAAAAATGCCTTAAAAATTAAAAAAGAGGTATATAAAATATATAACCTATTTCAGATCTACATATACATATAAAATTTCATCAAAATCGGTTCATCTGTTTTGGAGAAGTATGGAACACTGTAACTTGAGAATTTTATATATACAGATAAAAGGTTATTTTGTATATATTCGTATAATTATGAAAATTATTCATAAAAAATTGTCTTCTTTGTTTATTCCTTATTCACATCCTTCTGCCATTGAGTTTAAGTTCAATTTCATTCATACATTCAACTAGTTGCACCTGCGACTTCGTCCGTGTGGAATTTAACTGTATATTTCTAAAATAAAAGTAGCCTAAGTTACTCCTTATTACATCAGCTACCTACCAAAATAGTCCCGTCCAAATCGGTCCAGCCATTTCAGAGATTAGCCGGAACAAACAGACAGACAGACAGAAAAAAATTGTGAAAAATATAATTTCGGTGTATGTACCGTATTTATATTCATATGCATGTAGTAAAAAACGGTTATTTCAATATTACAAACAGACAATCCAATTTTATTTATATGTATAGATTATAATGCATATATTCGTAAAAATATGCAAATTATTCATTAAAAAAATTGTCTTGTTTGTTTATTCGTTATTTACATCCTTCTGTCATTGAGTTTAAGTTCAATTCATACATTCATTCATACATTCAATAACTTTATACATTTTAAGTACAATGGGAACCGTAAACAATTCAATTGTAAGTAGAAATAATTAGGTAATAAAAAATAACAAGTTTCTTGCTCATTCTTCTTGTGATAAGTCTGTATTCCGAATGAGTGGTAGAATCAAATTATGACTATTCAAAAGTGCTTGAATGAGTTTATTTGAATAAAGATTATTTCATTTCAGTAACTAGTATCTACCAATGGTCGAAATTCGACCGTAATACCAAAACATATTGGAAATTCACATAATAATAATAACCCTGGTCAATTAACACAACGCCGTTTAGTCGCAAGCTAAGCAATTATAAACAATAAACGACGCAGAAATACTTAAATACATAGTTTTTGTAAATACATGCCTAGATCATGTGCATTGCCATCCGGAAGCTTAATATGTCACGCCTCGTATCCTGTAATTTCACTGCCTTATCACCCTTTATCTGAAGTCGATGTGACTGTGATACTGATGCAGACTTATCTGATATTACAGATATTGGCAGAATCAGCACAGAAAATGTACGGACGAATACAAGTTCCCAAACTGACATACCCAGATTTGGCACAGGCATCGTTGGAGGCATGCCCGTGGGAGAGATTAAAGAAATACGCGATGGCGTTTAGGTAAACATATTGCAAAAAGTTATTTGTTTTTCTAACTGGAATAATAGTAATAAAATTCCTAGATAATCCACACAGCCCCATCTAACAAAATAGTATATATGCCTGTATGTTCATATTGACTTAATAGTAGCATTCTGAATTCCATCTCTATATAAAGTGTTATATGCAAAAACTACATATAAAAATTAGTTATAAACCTATTTTCAGACCTAGTGAATATAAAATTTCATCAAAGTCGGTCAAGCCGTTTCGGAGGAGTATAAACACGAAACTGTGACACGAGATTTTTATATTAGACTAGCTGTACACGCGACTTCGTCCGCGCGGAATTTGACTTTATTTTTCTAAAATAAAAGTATCCTAAGTTACTCCTTATTACATCAGCTACCTGTCAATAAAAGTCCCGTCAAAATCGGTCCAGCCATTTCAGAGATTAGCCGGAACAAACAGACAGACAGACAGACTGACAAAAATTGTAAAAAAAAATATTTTGGTGTAAGTACCGTATTTATATTCATATGCATGTAGTAAAAAACGGTTATTTCAATATTACAAACAGACACACCAATTTTATTTACATGTATAGATTTAACACGGGATGTAAATAAAAATACATTTCCTTCAAAATTATTATAAAATATATATAAATTAATGATTGAATTGCGCAATAAATATACTCTTACGTTGTTAGGAAGTCATAAATTAACTTCAACACGGTACTTAAGCATTGAATTGTTATTTATATATAGCTACTTAATAATAATATCCTTGTATTCACACAGCGCCATCTTGTTTCAATCTAAGCAGTACTTGAGTTATGAAATAGAAATAGAAATAATCTTCATTCAAATAAACTCATTACAAGCACTTTTGATTAGTCATTGTTTGATTCTACCATGGGTACTAGACAACTTATAGATAAACCTAGATACATTTATTGTGTAAATATATACATAATATACATCAAACTGATACAAATTACAAACAATAATATTTCATGAATATAAAAGTTTGTACCGTACGAGGAATCGAATCTGCGACCATCGGAGGTAAAGCGGTGTGCTAAACCGCTAGAGTACCGCAGCTGTCGAAACTCAAATGTAGTTTATTGTAACACATTTTGTAAATGTCTATCATAAAAATATCTAAATTTTTTAATTAGTTATACAAAATAATAAAACTTATTTTATAGTCCAAATTATGGCTGTTTGTTCTCTATGACGATTACGTACGAAAAAAATAATTAGATATAGAATTAGTGACGTTATTCCTTAAAAAAAAATGTCATACATTAAATTAATGCTATCCATACATATAAATAAAATTGAGGTGTCTGTTTGTAATATTGAAATAACCGTTTTTTACTACATGCATATGAATATAAATATGGTACATACACCAAAATAACATTTTTTACAATTTTTGTGAGTCTGTCTGGCTGTCTGTTTGTTCCGGCCAGTCTCTGAAATGGCAGGACCAATTTTGACGGGACTTTTTTGGTAGGTAGCTGATGTAATAAGGAGTAACATACATAGGCTGTTTTTATTTTATAAAAATAAAGTTTAATTCTACTCGGATGAAGTCGCGTGTACAGCTAGTATTAAATAAAATAAATATATTTTCTTATCAACTTACCCATTATCATTCCTGTAAATAGATTTATAAATATATTAGATTCCTAAATCTCGATTGATCACTCATTGACAGTCCAAATTATAGCTGTATGCACTCTATTCCTTTGATGAACACTTAAAACATAAAAAAATATAATAAAAAGTGTAGCGTTCACGACAGATTAAAAAGTGGAACTGGCCGGTATTCTCGCTGTATATTCATTTTAAATCAACTGTACACGTGTGGAGGTGGCGTTCTAGCTTTTAGAACGTCATTCTAAAATCATTTAGTTTCCATTGCCGCAAATGAACGTATATTTTAATATACTTCTGTTTTTGAACGAGCAATGGAAAGATAATTGAAAATATAATTTAAATAATGGATTAATAAATTGATAGGTATATTTAAGGTATGGAAAGATTCTTTTAAAACGTACGTATTCATTGTCGTTTAAGTATTGGTTTATGATACTGTGTCAGTAATAAAAGAAGCAATGTATAGTGTGTATTTAGAAGCTGTGTTTATTAAAAGTGAATGTGTTTTGCTCTGTAATCAATTACTAGACTCGTTTAAACTGAATTGGGTTCATTTGCAAGTCAAAAGTTCATACATAATAATGTCTGCCACGTTGTTTTCAAATTGCATTTAAAATAGAGCTTTTCATATATATTACAAGCTAGCTCCGCAAACGTTGTTTTGCCATATAAATTGAAATAGCAATAAAAATTAGGGGTTGGTGGTAGAAGGGTGAAGTTTTAGGGTTGTATGTATTCTTAATGAAAATAAATCCACATAATAAAAAAATAAAAATAAAAATTTGTCGAAAAAAATAGTTATAAACATATTCTCAGGCCTACTGAATGTACATACAAAATTTTATCAAAATCGGGCAAGCCGTTTCGGAGGAGTATAAAGACGAAACTTGTGACACGAGAATTTTATATATTAGATTGTGCCTGGACGTGGACATCATGAAAGGAAGGATTTATGGAGCGCTGAAGGCCAACTCCTACCTGACGGGGACACCACTGGGGGTTCGAACCTCGGCTAAGGCTGTCGTAATTTCGATTTCCGTTTGAATTAAATGGGGGAATATTGTATACAGCACGAAAGAAGTATAAAGTCGTCTCAAATTCCCGCTCACGGATATGACTTTAGTCAGAGGACACCGCTAGGGGTTCGTTTTTTTTATGATGATAATGGAATGATGCCTCGGTTTACTCACCAGTGGGGATAAGATGCAATTGCCCATCGTGACTACTTCACCAGGAATTAAACACGATGTGGATTGATAGTTACCCCATTGTTAGCCCCATTGCTATGTATCTTGTCAGGTCGACCTCCACGCGGTTCCCCTGGAAACCATCATGTTAAATTCCTGGTGAATTTATCACGATGGGCTAACTGACCTGACCTCATGCTCATCCTATCATCCTCCACTGGTGCCCCGCCAACGTAAACCGTTAGCGCAGGCGGGTGCACCATTCCATTATCATCTATAAAAAAAAACAAAACCTCGGCTCAGTCCGTCGTAATTTCGATCCCCGTTTGGATTAAAAAAAAAAATATATATTCATGTAGGTCCGTAACAGACACTTATGACAAGCCTAATTATAATCAATATATATTGTATATACGAGATAGTGTAACAATTCCACCACTACTTAGAGAACATATTAATATAATAACTTATACATCCAGGAACAAATCTTAGCCTAGTCTTACATAACAAAGACAATAAACAAAACAAATAAAATAAACAATAAATTAAATTGTGGCAGGCTGTGCTTCATTGCATCCTGTTAGACATTAGAATCTAATATAATAATAATTATTAGATGGGGAATATTGTATACAGCACCAAAGAAGATAATGCCGGCACGGATACGACTGTAGTCTGAGGACACCGCTAGGGGTTCCAAACTCTGGAGACGGAGGCGATGGAGGCCGAGTCCGGCCCGTTGCCACCGACTCTGAGCTTCTCGGAGGTAGACGCGGGGGCGTCTGCCGTCACCTAAGGAGGATGAGGCTAGGAGTTGGCGTGGTGTCCGCGCGCGCCTCTCACGGAGGGGGCTGCAGACCCCCGCTACGGGGGTAACGGTGAACTGCAATGTCGATCCCGTAACCCCGGCGCTAGTAGCGAGCGTTCACTAAGGGGTTTTAGTGATAGAGATATTCAGTGGATTACATATACAGTTGTAAATATAATTTATTTCGTTCCAATTGCAGTTGCACGTTACACACAAACTGTTACTTAGCAACAATACTTATTTTAAATGTGATGGATTATACTTTTTCTACTTCAATCAATGTGCCTAATACGGACCCTTAATCCATTACATTTAAGACATTGTACATCTCTACATTTAAATAACATACATAATATAAAACAATATACAGAAGAGTAAACAATAGAACTACTAGCAAAAAACATATCCAAAATTAAATCTGTTAAAATACTAACAATTAAAATAACAGTGGATTACGTATACAGTTGTAAATATAATTTATTTCGTTCTAATTGCAGTTGCACACAAACTGTTACACACAATACTTATTTTAAATGTGATGGATTATACTTTTTCTACTTCAATCAATGTTAATACGGTCCCTTAATCCATTACATTTAAGACATTCAACATCTCTACATTTAAATAACATACATAATATAAAACAATATACAGAAGAGTAAACAATAGAACTACTAGCAAAAAACATATCCAAAATTAAATCTGTTAAAATACTAACAATTAAAATAACAGTGGATTACGTATACAGTTGTAAATATAATTTATTTCGTTCTATTGCAGTTGCAACACACAAACTGTTACTTAGATGGATTTATACTTTTTCTACTTCAATCAATGTGCCTAATATTTAGCCGGTAGGTGTCCGGCAGTATCCGCAGGCCTCCCCCTGGGCGTGCGGATCTCCATGACGGATTTCCCCTTGTAAAAAAAAGGGGTTCGAAATTCGGCTCGTCGTAATTTCGATAGTTTGAAAATTGATAGGAAAAATTGTATACAGCACCAAAGATGCATAACGCAGTCTCACTCTTGACTGCACGTTGAACAATACACCAAAGATCACATCTGACTTTTTAGAGCCTGAGACCCATTTTCACTTGAAACAATGCGTTGAACCCCACTGAACTATTAGGTAGATGTATTGTTTGTAATTATATAATTGTTGATAACAAGATTTTAACCTCAGCGTGATGACCTAATCTTTTCTTATGGGGATTGTCAGTAATGTGGACTAATGCATTGCTAGCAATGTACCATGTCAGGTCGACCTCCACGCGGTTCCCCCTGGAAACCATCGTGATACATTCCCGGTGAATTTGTCACGTTGGGCTAACTGTTCGACTTCATGTTCATCCTATCATCCTCCACTGGTACTTTAATTTAATAATTAGTAAAAAAAAAACTAGTGAATAAATCAGTAAAAAACTTAGTAATTTAATTTAAGCACTTTTGAATGGTCATAACAATTTGTTTTTTATCTACCAGATACCAGGTAGATTTGACATATCATAAGAGTCTGTAATAGACCTACATGAATAAAGATATTTTGAATTTTGAATGGGAATTGAAGAGCCTATTCCTAGCAATGTACCATGTCAGGTTTTTTTTTATAACACAGGGGACAAACGAGCATGCGGCTCACCTGATGGTAAGTGATTACCGCCGCCCATGAGCACCCGCAACACCAGGGGAATTGCAAGTACGTTGTCGGCCTTTTAAAAAGGAATAAGCTCTTTTCGTGAAGGTTTCAATATCGTATCGGTTCGGAAATACCATTGCTGGAAGGTGATTACACAACTTGTGTTTTCTTGGGGTTGAATTGAACACAATTTTCCTGACCCCAAACCGAAACTTGGTGGAGTGAAGTTTCGATTTCAGACACAAGTTTGTTCCGGTACTCTATAACTTTTGCCTGCGACATATTAGCATGGCCGCTGTACAAGGCATCTCCGGTACTGTCATCCGCATAGCAATTAATGTTGTTGATTAGGTCTGGAAAACATCAGGAGAAGTTCTTCGCGATGTGCTAACTGACCTGATCTCATGTTCATCTTATCATCCTCCACTGGTGTCCCGCCATTGTAACAGTTAGCGTCCCACCTGCGCTAACGGTTCATTATCATCCATAAAAAAAATATATTTTCTTATTAGGGTAGGAGGGCATTGTAAGTAAACGGGACTTCGATCGACAGTGAATTGGTGTATCCGTTTGCCCCAATGGTTTACGCTGGCGAGGCACCAGTGGAGGATGATAAGATGAGCATGAGATCAGGTCAGCTCGCACATCATTCGCCAAGACTTTCACAGAGGAGTTTAATAGGAGGGAAAGCGTGGAGGTCGACCTGCCATTACGTGCAAAAACTGTATAAATTCGAAAATTTGTTTCCGTGTATTACATTTTCAGGGCTAAAAGGCTGAACAGATTGTAATGAAATTTGAAATTAAGATAGAGGGTATCACGGGTTTTGCCTATAACTGACATGCAGGCGTTATCATACTTTTAAACTCCTAATTTCTAGTTTATAGATCTTCTGCCGTTGTCAAGGGACAGAGGAGCACCACTGGATGAAGTATTTATATCAGTTACGTGGCAGACTTCATCAGATCCAATATATAATATGATCTAAAGAAAGGAATCGATACATATAAAAAAAATTGGAGTGTCTGTTTGTAATATTGAAATAACCGTTTTTTACTACATGCATATGAATATAAACACGGTACATACACCAAAATAACATTTGTTACATTTTTGTCTGTCTGTCTGTTTGTTCCGTCTAATCTCTGAAATGGCTGGACCGATTTTGAAGGAACTTATTTTGGCAGGTAGGTGATGTAATAAGGAGTAACTTAGACTACCGTTATTCTAGAAAAATAAAGTTACATACACCAAAATAACATTTTTTACAATCTTTGTCTGTCTGTTTGTTCCGCCTAATCTCTGAAATGTCATGGCCGATTTTGACGGGACTTTTATTGATGTAATAATGAGTAACTTAAACTACTTGTATTTTAGAAAAATAAAGTTAATTCCACGCGGACGAAATCGCGGGAACAGCTAGTAAATAAATAAACTATAAGCAACAGGAAATAAAATGACGGACTGAACACTTGTTACAAATAACCAATGATTACAAGATTTCCTGGTCATCAGCATCACAAAATGATAAATTAGCATAAAAATTATAATAATTAATGCGTTTTGTTTAAACTTTATAGTTATGTGAACGCAACACTTCCATAATAAGTAGGTGGTTGTAAGAACTACGGTTATAGCGTTCCGTAACCGTCAAATTTATATAAATAGAAAGATTACGTGTGTACAAGAAGTACACATATAAAAAAAGATTATAATCTATGAAATGTAAATGAGATAAACTGTTAAGGATTATTCAAAACCTATGTAATATTACAATTACTAGCCGTTCCCGCGACTTCGTCAGCGTGGAATTTAAATTCATTCTTCTAAAATAATTAGTAGCCTAAGTTACTGCTTATTAGATTAGCTACCTGTCAAAAAAATTTTCGTCGAAATCGGTCCAGCCATTTTAGAGATTAGCCGGAACAAACTGACAGACAGACAAAAATTGTAAATAATGTTATTTTGGTGTATGTACCGTATTTATATTCAAATGCATGTAGTAAAAAACGGTTGATTACTATTTTATTACTATTATTACTTTTTTATTACTAGCTATCCGCCCCGGCTTCACACGGGTGTACATGTATACATAAACTACGTAATATCTTATCTAAGGTTTAAACATTTGTCTTTAATCACTTTATCGGGGGAAGGAGATTGTTGGTAACGTGGATTGATGATCTTATTGCTAGCAATGTACCATGTCAGGTTGACCTCCACGCGGTTCCCCCTGGAAACCATTATGTTAAATTCCTGGGGAATTTGCTAAGATGGGCTAACTGACCTGACCTCATGGTCATCATATCAGGTGATCACCTCCACTGGTGCCCCAGCGTCAGCGCAGGCGGGGGTAACATTCCATTATCATCCAATAAAAAATTACTCTATTATCTAAAAACAAACTTAAAAATACAGTTTCAAAGATCTAAGCGAACAGACAGCTTAAGCGAATTCATTATATTCATTATATATTAAAATATAATAAAAATTATACAGCAATTATATTAAGATTACGATTGTAGTATGTGTACAGCAATTTCAATAAAATATCCACTCGGCTCGTTGGTCTAGGGGTATGATTTTCGCTTAGGGTGCGAGAGGTCCCGGGTTCAAATCCCGGACGAGCCCAAACACATTTTTGTTTCTTTGCCATTTTATTTGATTTAGTTTTATATTACTTTTTATTATAAATATGCATTTTTATATTAACAAGTGGTACAAACTGTTTAAATAACAGATTTTCGGTATTGTTGTTAACTGTAATAAATATAAACTAACGGCTAATTTCTAACAATACTTTAGAATATAAAATGTTTAGAAAGAACAAGTATGTAGGTAGATTAGAGTGATATCATGTGTATCTTATAATAATAAGATTATTAATACCACAGATAATATAATATTACATATTAATACCAAATATTTTGTCGCTGGTTGAGTTTACTTATTATATTGGATACAATTATAAATATTTCGTATATAAACGGTGATCTATTGTTGTTAACAAATGTAATCCAATTTAGTTTAGTCTGTAAAATTCAGTCAATAGAATGTGATTGAAAATATTGAAGTTAATACTTCAATATTTAATAATTAGTTAATATATATTTTTTAAGTAATAGCGCCATCTATTGAGTTTCTCGCGTACTTATTTGGCTTGATGTTAGATTTGCTTCTTATTCTGTCACTGCTATCACAAGTGCTAAAAAACATTACGAATATTTTCATTTATGTTTTAAAATACACGCCTCAGCTTAGCACGTACATGTATTATACATATAAAACTTCCTCTTGAAACACTGTATCTATTGCTGAAATTTGTATTAAAATCCGTTGCGTAGTTTAAAAGATCTAAGCGACCTAATTTATTTTATTTGTTCTCATATTGCGTCTAAATGTTGTTAGCAACATCTTGTTTATAGTAGTTAAAATTGTCTTTGACTTGGATATACTTCTTAGGAGATTCAAGAAAATTTCCTTCATGAAATAAAAACTTTTACCTATGTAGAATAGAATAGCATAGAAAATCCTTTATTCAAATAAACTTAATTTAAGCACTTTTGAATAGTCATAACATTTTTTTTACCTACCGCTCATTTGGAACACGAAACTGTCTCATCACAAGAAGATGGAGCAAGAAACTTGTGTGTTGCTTGTAGGAATTTGCAATCATCATTACCTACCTCTTAACTTAAACCCAATAAGTAACAATATTTACTTGTTTTAAACTTTCGTGTTTGATATACATTATTTAAATTATTAACCGGGTCTTAACTCGAATAATTTTATGGCAAACTAGCTGTGCCGGCGACTTCGTCCGCGTGGAATTTTATTTTATTTTTCTAAAATAAAAGAAATCTAAGTTACTCTTTATTACATCTACCTGTCAAAAAAAGTCTCAAAATAGATCCAGCCATTTCAAACATTAGCCAGAACAAACAGAGAGACAAAAATTATAAACAATGTTATTTTGGTGTATGTACCGTATTTATATTCATATGCATGTAGTAAAAAACGGTTATTTCAATATTACAAACAGACACTCCAATTTTATTTATATATGTTTAGATTGTTGTGTATGTATTGTCACATAGGGAATGGCAAACTTATAATTATTACCTGCCTCTTATTTTATAACCAATACCTAAGTTACAATATTCACACTGAAATTTTGCAGCCCAACTCTCACTGTTAAACGTCATTGTATGAAAGTTGTAATAGGTTCCCAAAACGCTATGTCATATATCAAACAGAAAATTTACTATTATGTCAATGATTCGGGTCATGTAGATACTTCTAAGTCATCATGATGATTTGGTAATGTGTTATGTGGTAACATCGTTGACTATTTGATAACAATTTTTTTACACTATCTTTTTTTGAGAACTTATGATTTACCAGAGAAACTAATCGGTCTACACTTAGGTCGGATATCACCAAAGAAACTAATCACGTTTAGTTAAACTGAACTTAATTAAAACGAGTGTTAGCACATGAAACCTCTTTTTGTATAAAAGCCATAAAATAATTGTAATTAAAAATAAAATAAAAACTTCTTTTCTTTCTGTCAAAAAAAAAACCTTAATACTATCAATGGTTCACCACCTCAGTAGCTGTTGGGTAAGATAATCAGAAATGTATACATCAAAAATTGTAATTTTACCTACCAGGATTTAAGTTGTTATTAATATTAAGATTATTATTAATCTTAAGCTAATAATTGCATTTTAATAATTATAATGTTCTTTTATTATTATTTTGCCCTCATGAATATGGTAGCACATGAAACCTCTTTTTGTATAAAACCATAAAATAATTGTAATTAAAAATAAAATAAAAACTTCTTTTCTTTCTGTCAACACGGTCTATCATTTATTATTAATTTTATTGATTTTAAATGCATGATAATTAGATCACAGTTAGAAACACAAACAACGAGTTCAAAGCTTTTGCATTTTGCCGCTGCAATCTGAACTAGTTTTCGGTAAACAAATTCTGAACGCCTGATTTCCGACGGTTAACTCTTTAAACGTGTTTAAAATAGCTGGCACTTGTCAAATAGTAATCAATATAATCATATAATATTGGGAATAAAAAGAAAATTGCCAGTAGTGTAAAAAAATCCTTAATAAAATAATGCTTTACTTTGCTTTGTTGTTATATATTAGGTAGTCAACAGCTCTTATTAAATTAAAAACTAAAAAAACCTATTTTTTATCACATGATTGAATTACAAATATTTGTTAAAATTATTTCAGTTAAATTACTCATTGCATCATGTGAAGAATTAATCGAAAGTGTGTCTTTTGTTAGGCAAAATATTAAAATAAAATAAAATAAAACTGTGATAACTTACCAATAGTAGTTAAAATACTTATTTGTATTATAGTTAGGTAAATGGATAGGATAATGGTATTTAAATAAATAATTGAAACCTTTGAACTTTGTTAATACGTAAAATTGTCGTTATGTCAAATAACACTGTTATAACTTTTTTTAACATGTTGAAGAACACATCTTATTTCTCACATACGGACTGCCATTTTTTATTGTTAACTACATATATTATTATTTAAATATGTTTTTAGTGTACAATCATTTGAGGTAGACATTATTTAAGATAATTTTATTTGCTGATTTTAATATAAAAACAATTTAATTTAATTATCAGGAATATTTTGAAAATTAATTCAATTCTTAAAAGTAATAATGTACATACATTTTGCACGCCTATATGGAGACTGCAGACATTGAACAAATATTCATATTATAAGACCTACTTGTAACACTGTATTCTGCAGACAAATTCAAATTCAAATTCAAAAATCATTTATTCATGTAGGCCATTTTAGCCGCTTATGAACGTCAAGTTTTTACATTATAATTTTTTCCCTACCGTCCAGTTCGGTATATAGATCCAATTGAGAAGAACTGGCAAGAAACTCAATTGAATTACTTTTTTTTAAAATCCAGTTTATTTACAATGCATAGGTATTTATATAGGTGTCTATGTCTAACATTAAATGAAAATCCCGAACATGAAAACTATTGCCATGCACGCTCGTCATTCAAGTAATCGTTTAGTGAGTAATAGGCCTTGCTCAGTAAATATGATTTAACAGATGTTTTGAATTTATTTAAGGGTAATTCCAATATATCCTTTGGTATCTTATTGTAAAATTCACCGTCCAGTTCGGTATATAGATCCAATTGAGAAGAACTGGCAAGAAACTCAATTAAATTATTTTTTTTAAAAGCTAGTATTTACAATGCATAGGTATTTATATAGGTGTCTATGTCTAACATTAAATGAAAATCCCGAACATGAAAACTATTGCCATGCACGCTCGTCATTCAAGTAATCGTTTAGTGAGTAATACACAAATAAATAAATAAAAATAAATAACTCCCACATTTATTTCAGTTAAAATGCCCAGGGGTGATCACCGGTACTAACGTGTTTTACTTTCGTTGCGGAGTTTCGTTCCGTCCACCGGTGGGCATGCGGCCCTTAACGTGTTAAAAGCATGGAGACTGAGTTATATGCTGGACATAAAGTAATCATCAGCAGGGCAAGGATCATTGCCATCAATCGGTTTGTACCTATATATCTTGCCTTTAGTTCCAACTATAATATTATTCTTTTTATCGAACGCCATACCCGTTATTTTGAAGCCCAACTCTCCTATTTTAACTGGAAGTATACTTTTCGTGAACAATCGGAACAGTGAACCTTTTACAGCAACAATTGCCTCTTCATTATTATTCAATTGGAGTATATATTTCAATTCCCTAGTGAGACCTTTATATTGTATTGGTTCATACAAATCTACTGAAAAGAAGTACAATCTTCCATCCACATATTCATAAAACGCATTGCCTTTAGCATCCAGAATGAAACTGTATGCTTTTGGTATTTTATCATACCTTTTAACAGCTGCAGAACCATTCATAAATCTAAATATTTCGTGATTAGGTCCAGTCGTTATATACATTCTGTTATCACTTTTATCAATAAATATATTTTTCACATCATCATCACCTATAGGTCTCTCCGCTGTGATTTCAGTTCTGGAATAATCATATGTTATTAGTCCTTGATTTGTTCCAATATAAATGACATTGTTTGCTGCATCTATACCAATACATTGTCCAAGTACATCATCTGCTATCGGCAGTTCTTTTATCCCTAAGGATCCATGTTTCAAAAGATGTATCCCTTTGGTATAATTCCGTTTATGTAGAATGAAAAATACATGTTCAGTTCTTGGGTCTATGACCATGCCGGTCGGGTAACCATTGATGTTAGCAATAAGTTGACGTTTGTAGTATTCGTTCCCAATTCTCGTTCGTTCACATTTCTCTGCGTTGTGGTTGTGTATGATGATGAAGATCGGAAGTGTTGCAGTGATGATGGCTTCTAGGAAACGCATTTTCGATTCATCACAGTCGGACAGTCGTGCTCTGTAAAGGAAGTGTTTAACATTTGTTATGCGATTTCACGTGAATCGAATTCAATCAGTGAAAGTTAGTTTTATGTGTCAAGAAGTTTCAAACCATCTTCTCGTGCTTGAATATTTTAGTACCTAATTATACTGGCATTGACATTTTGAGTTTATTTTTCTCAGAACAATTCGCACAGCGCCATCTAGACCCAAGTTAAGCTATCTAAAGCTTGTGTTATGGGTACTAGGTAACTGATACATATACATAGATATTTTATTGTAAATACATACATATTATACATCGAAAATACCCAGCCCGATACAAACAATCATACTCATGAATACAAATGTTGTGTCGTGCGAGGAATCGAACCCGCAACCATCGGTCGTAAAGCGGTGTGCTAGACCGCTAGACCACCGAGGTCGTCAAGAACTTTTTAGAACAAGATGGAAGATGTGTGTTCATTACACATTCAATTACTGTTTCCAGAGGTAGACTGCAAGAAGTCGTCTGCAAGGATACCTCAGTGACAATAATTTCAGCTTCCAGGCTTGCTTTGTTAACTGTATTTTGGTTGTAGGATATCTGGCCTCTCCGATTGATCCCCCGTCCAATTCAAACGGGAATTGAAATTACTACAGCCTGAGGCGAGATTCAAACCTGTAGCGGTTATCTCAGATTAAAGTCTTTGGCAGGAATTGCCTGATGGATTCGACTTTAGCCTGAGGCTCCGATAGTGGTTTGAAGCTCCGTTTAGGCCGTTATCTTGATCCCCGTTTGAATTGAGAGGATGATCTATTTGAGGAGAGTATAGAGTGTATGCTTTTCAAAGGAGATATTTCAAGACTCTATTTAGCTACTTTTTCATGATAAATTAATGTTAATTTACCTCAATAACGTAGTATCGGTCACTCAGCGATGGTGTAATAACATTATTGAATTGTAGTATTGGATCGGATCTCTCTTATAAAACATACAACCATTGTGTCAGGTGACGACGATGCTTGTAAACATACGCCCTGTTTAGTTTATAATGAAGGTATAGGCTGATGATTTTTTTCTTAGATAATTTAGAACTATCCCTGACAGATATTTTCAGATTTTGGCTATGAATATTCAACATCCTATTGTTAGAGATACCACTGCCATACACATTATTAGTCCTTTTTATTTAGTATCTAGCGTCTGATATTTTTTTGTTTGCATCAGTTATTACCCACTCAGTACCACATATCCCACTGTTTTAGATAGACTGGAAGAGATCTCTTCTAGGGATAAGTCCACCTTTGCTCACATTGTCTCTAAATTATAATATCTTTGTATTATCTGTGCAATAAAGAATATATTAATCCTTCGAGCCGTTTCTGCAGCACTGGTGCCTCGGCGGAACTCGTACTCGTAAATATCGCGATTTTAGGTTTTCCATTTTGTAAACTGAGTGTTTAAAAGAAAAAACCAATGGATTACGGTTTTGGAAAAGCAAATGCATGCGTAAATAACTGTATAAATTTGAAATTGGAATTTCTAACCAAAGAGGAGATATTTGAGATCAAAGTGGCCAGTACGACAATACACCAATTTCATATGTAAGGACCTAAATACGGGTACTGTCAAACACAAGAAGTTAATATACATATTATAAACAGTCAGAAAGGTTTCTGAAATTTGTCATTTAATACGCAATTAAAAAAAAATCTTCCGTAAGAATCTTCTACGAAGTATTAGAAATCACAACAATATACTTTAGAAAGTACATTTGAAATTTGGTAAAAATACTTTTGTGGTCCTTAAGGATAGGACTCAAAATTTGTAGTTAGTCCTTCATATTCATCTAATGATATAGAACAACACTACCTTCTTATGTATGAGGGACTTGAAGGCTTAATATGATAATTGCAGGAAAAATATTATAATGTTTTTAACTAGTGCAGTGGTTCAGAAATCATCATTATTTCATTATCTTCTATAATAAACACCCGCAGTAAGATCGTCGTTTAATTAAACAGATTAGATTGAAACATCCTGTATAAAAATAGATAATACAGCAAAAATAATTGTGACGTAATTGTTCTACATTTTATGGGAGAGTATAATCGTTGAATTAGACTTGATTAGACTAGTATCTGTCTAAATACTAATGTAATAGGACATCGGAGCATCAGATGGTAGTGGTGTACTTTCTGAAGGTAAGTATATGTTAATTTTATATTTATATTAGCTACTAGCCCTGGCTTCGCACGAATGTACATGTATTATATACATAAACCTGCTTCTAGAATCACTCTACCTATTTAAAAAACCGCTTCAAAATCCGTTACTTAGTTTTAATGATTTAAGCATACATAGGAACAGATAGCGACAGCGACTTTGTTTTATACTGTTCACAACCTTAATACATGATCATCATCACGGAAATCACATCACAATATAGAACTAGAACTAAAGGTACGTATAATAGTGCGTTGACATTCTGGAAGCCTAAGACGTAATGCCTTACAGTTTTAAAGAGATATTTAGCCTACAAGTAAAACATAGCTTACAGATAAAATAGGGGACATAGACGACTTTGATTTGAATTTGATTTTTTTTCTATTTTTTTTATTGAGGGGTGAAACCCCTCAATATAAAAAATATTTAATGATATTTATATTTAATATTTATATAAAAAATAAAATATTTAATAGCCGAAAGGCTATTGTCAGTGCTTTAGACCTGTAGCACTGCGACCTACATTAATCTATTATGCTCGCCCTTTTTTCAAAGTTTGCTACCTAGACTTGTCAAGGACAAGAATTGAAGGATATTCTTAGGAGCGATGGTTTTTATCTCGTCAGGATAAAGTGTAACTTTCCAAAGGAGATATTTCGTTTATGCATGAGTGGGCTACAACCACATAGGATGTGAAGCGGCGTTTCCTCTTCAGTTTGGCAGAATCGGCAGATACTTGTCGTACATAGGCCTAGTTTAGCCATATGCTTGTTTAATTTGGGTTTAAAATGGGTTGTTATACAACATTGCTTTTTCATCTCTTACCACTTTTGGTACGTGTACATTTTCCAAGGGACACATTTAGTTTATGCATGACTGGCGTTTCTTCTTCAGTTTGGTAAAATCTGCAGATTTTTGTTAAGAATAAGCCTAAGTTTGTCGTGTGTTTATTTAATTTGCAGTGTCCAGTGAGGGATTTACTCACACTGCAATATTATTTTTACTCAATAGCACTAGTCTATGAGAGCATTGATTAGAGTAGCCTATTATTAGTGCTTTAGAATGTACTAATCTTGGCAGATTTCACCAGTGATTTAGTGTTTCCTATTTCTTTATCCCAGTTCCAGCAAGCAGCAGTCCCAGTTTTAAGCAATGAGTCGCACCACAGAAGGGTTCAGGGCGATTGGTAGTTTAATGTCCCTAATTTTGCTAGTTGGGATTAAATAAGTATCTTACAAATAGAAATGTTTCAGGCATGCTACAGTTAAAATCAAAACAGGTTACAAAATAACTGAAAGCGAGCCAAAGTAATCTTTATTTGGTTTATCAATAAATTATATTAGCACTTCATTCACATTCTGTCTGACTATACTTGTATATTATACTATTTGTAGATATATACAAATCATCCTCATTAAAAGCAATACCAGCTGGTATAAAGTCTAGTTGCATCAACTTCTTAGGTATCACACTATCAGGTCTCAATTGATATAGACCATCGTTGGTTGCTAAAATAACTCTATTATTACTATCCACTGTAATAGCTCTTGCTGTATTCTTAGCGATACCAACAAATTCAATAGGCTCTTGGAAATCTTTCAACAAAACTTTAACATATTTCGAATCACACTCATAATAAATATTGTCTTCTTCATCTACTGCTATTATATACGCACAAGGTACATAATCAACCTTCTTCTTTTCATTCCTCTTGAGATTTATAATATATACTTCATTTTCAGGATATATAACTGCATAAATCTCATCCTTATTGCGGGGTTTATATATTTGAACTATATCTTCATCTTTTAAACTAACAAAGTTCGCTTTATTAGTTTTATTGAGGACATTTAAGCCATCGTCACTGGCTATATATACTTTGTTGTAGTTGATATCTACAGCCGCATCCTGACCGTTTACATTGTCAATTTTGATTGGCTCTCCATTCCTCAGTATGTATTGGTCCATTTTAGTTTGGACTTCGTCATTTTGTAATGATTCGAGATCAATTAATGTGAAAAGGAGGTCGTTGGTGTGTGGATTGACAACTAAGTTGGTTGGTAGGCCTTTTATAGTCAGTATTGATGTCCTCGTGTAGGACTGGTTGTCGTACACGTAGGGACAAAGCTCTGATGTGACTGATGATATTACTATCAGTAGTAGATACGGCAGCATTGTTGTATTCTGTAAAATAATAACATTTTCAATTATTATTATTGACTAGAGATAACCCAACTTCGTGAGACTGGAATTTCACCTTGCTTTTTGTTAAAATTAAAAAAAGTAGTAGTAATTTTGCTATATTTTATCTGCTAGTGAAAGTCCCGTTAAAATCGATCCAGCCGTTATCGATATTGACAGGAACAAACAGACAGACAGATATGTTTTTTATTTTCTAAAAGAGACATCTATAGAGCAGACTTCATTGAAATTGGTGATTAGATTAAAATAAACTTTATTCAAGGAATTTAGTACAAGTTAATATGTTGTAAAAGAAACTTAGTTGGTAATCTTTTAAAATAAACAAACAAAAAATATATAATAAAGAAAAATCTTTGGGGTTCCCCATATTACATAGGTATATAAAAATAATAGATACCTACTGAGTATACATACAAAATTTCATCGAAATCGCTTCAGTAGTTTAGGTTCATCGCGGACAAACAACATGACCACAAATTTTTACATATTAATATATAAAATTACTTGTTTAATAAAAATTAAATCAGTGTTAGGTATCCTGAGTTGATTCGACTATATACTACTGGCTACTCGCCCCGGCTTCGCACGGGTGTACATGTATTATATATATAAACCTTCCTCTTGAAGCACTCTATCTATTAAAAAAAAACCGCTTCAATATTCGTTGCGAAGTTTTAAAGATTTAAGCATACATAGGGACGGACAGACAGCGACAGCGACTTTATTTTATACTATGTAGTGATATTCTATAAATAGTTTTTGGAATATAATAGGAGGAATCTACAATGTAGGAATATTACAAATGTAAAATTTATTTTAAACACTTTTAGGATATACATATAGTCATTTCCTATCTATTTTAGACACTACATACATCTCCCTATGTTGTCACACTATGTTGTATATCTTTGACTCCTAAATTACTGAATCGATTGCAAATTTGATTTGCACATTGTTACATTGGCCTTCGACTTCGTCTCGAATCGTCAGTTCAAATCTGGTCGAACCAGATTTGAACTGACGATCTTCCAATTTTGTACAATGCCGATATCATAAAATTTATGATATCGGCATTGTACAAAATTAGATTAGATTTAGAAATAAATAGAATAGATTTAGAATTACAGACATGCCCAGACTATTGATTGCCATCAGGCGGGCCGTATGCTTTTCTCTCGTAGTATAACTCGTCTTGCAGATGTTGCAGCCCTAACAGATTGTATCCACTAAATTAAAAAATTGGATTTCTTATTAAATGTACAACACAGTGAATCACACCATTCTTTATATTGGTGTTCATGTAGCCAAATAATATATAGAGCTTCAAGTAGGCGGATTATATAACTAATTATATATGTATCTATGTGTAACATAAATATCTTTATATATAAAAATTTCGTATCAAGTTGCTTGTCCGCGATGGACTCCTAAACTACTGAACCGATTGCAAATTTGATTTGATACTGTGTGCAATTTGATCTAACTTGAAAGATAGGTTAGCTTACATCTCAATTTATAGTCGCAATATTATTTTATTCAAGAACCTTAGCCACAGCGACGCGTGGAAGGTCTGCTAGTATATATTATATGTATATTTTTAATTAATATTACATACAAGCCGTGCCCGCGGTCTCACGCGTATGAAAATAGCCTATCTTTACATCTCAAGTTATAGTCACAATATTATTTTATTGCCTTAGTCTGCTAGTGTATTATGGAATATTGAAATGTAATTATTTATATACTCACATTAATATTGATGTTGTGTCCAGTAAATATGCTATCACTCAGTCAACTGTACGATTATAATATCTTGCCAAGTTTATTATTACCCGCGTCCTGCTTTTATCACAGTTCAATGTTCTGGTATCAAATTAGGACATATATCTACTAACCCTGTTTTAAAAGTATGTTTTTCTAAACTTCCTGGATATTATTTACATTTTATGACTGTGTGTGTCTGTTCGTTTTTCTCTTAATGCTCAATTTACAGTCATTGCCTTCTATATATTTGGTTTTCAATGGAAGGAAGGAAGTATTCTTTGGTGTTTGTTTCCATTGTTATATTATCTAACTTTGTTTATATATTGTGACGGTCCGGGATTGTAAATATAGGGTTTAAAAAAGATTTTACTTTTTTTTTCTCTTCTTTTGGCCCCGGCAGTTTGTATTGTCATTAGCCATAAGTTTTTACTTATATGTTGAATAAAGTCGCCTGCGTTCTGCGTTGGTACCTGTCTCTCATCTTACGGTAAAGAGCTGAATCTTGAATCTATCTCTTCTTGCAGGAAACTGTAGCCTCGCAGAAGATCCTTGGACATAAAATCAGTGGGCAGCAGCTGTTATGCAAAATGCATCATCCTGTGACAAATCATTAGGAAAAAACGGCATGTTTTAGTTATTGAGTATTAGAATAGTGTCAAAAAACAAAATTGGGCTCCAACTAGCCTTGTAATCTGTGATTCGGTGAAAAGATGTATAAGAGGAATTATAGGATATTGAGACAATCTAAATCCTTAAAAATCTTAAGGTATGTCGGACTGGCATCACGTGATAGCGTGATGTCCGCATTACTACTCATATATATAGGTGACAGTTACTATTTTGCATTAGTTTATGATGGTCTTCATATAAAAATACTGACAAACAAAGTGTTCATCACGTTCATACATTCTAGTATCTATTCGTCAGTTGAGTTTCTTGCCAATTCTTCTCAATTGCATCTGTATACTGAACTGGACGGTAAAGTAAAATATTAATACATAAAACTTGGCGTTTATAAGCAGATAAGATATTTCATCTTACATCAATAAATGAGTTTTTAATTTTACACCAAATATACTGCAATCCAAAAATATAGCGCATGAATCTCGTGTATAAGTATAAATTATCGGAAGTAAGTACGATATCGCCGTGTGTTAATGGAAACGGTGCTGCGCATACGAACCGTGACGTTTGCGTGAGGAAATACCACTCTTCAATGAACGTTTGCTCCAGTGATGTGCTAAGTTATATTTATCAATGTTACCTATTAACACGTCAATCACATAATAAAATTATTGTTTACAAGTACCATATAGAATTTTGAGAAGTTTGTCTGCAAACCAAATCGACTATGAAAAACTTTTTGAATAAATGATTTTCTATTCTATTCTATTTAGGCTAATTATGCAATAGCGAGACACACAATGTTTATTTAAGCACTATTGAATAGTCATAACAATTTTTTGACTTACTGATACTTTGATACTTTCTGTATATTTCCAGTAATAAAACTGCTCTGAAAGCCCCAGCATCCTAGATTACATGTGATGGGTTGTAAGCTTTTAAGCTATTTCTGTTACGTTAAAATAAATAATATAAAATTTTGCTTCAGATTTCAGAAGCAATGTGGGAATTAATATTAATACTTATTATAATAACATCTGTTTCATCAAAACAAGAAATAAATCCCAATAAAAATGAAATATTTAGAAATGAACAAATAATATTTTCTTCCGAGTTCAATATTACTAAAATATTGGTACCACCGGATGGCAATAAATACATACAGACTGAATCTTCTGAAACGCCATCCATATTTTTCACGATATCAGATCCTAGATTAGAAGGAGATAGTTGTATTTACGTATTAGAAGGATTTGCAGCTTACGAAATTCTAGAAGGAGGTCGAGATTCAACAGCAGACTACAGCCTTGATAAAACAGTATATTTTGGTGCGAGAGATGGTATTTACAAATATAATCCTGAAACGTTATCAGCTAAGAGATTTTGTCCTTTCAGAGACGATATCATACAGATACAGAAAGCAAAAGGTGTTGATGTTATTTATATTCTAAATTCAGATCATAAGATGTTTAAGGTCGAAATGAACGGGACTGTGAAGACTAGAGTGCAAGCAATAACCTGTGCATTAGAATTTGTTTTGGACACTTCTAATAATATATATTACGTTTCCTGTGATGACCATATGCCACATATTGTTAGATCAGATGGCAGTATACATAATATAATAGCAAGCGTGATAGAAGACTTCAAAGATATAAAATTATTAAGACCTGCATTCATTATGGAAAATTGCGTGCCATTTTTTGGAGACGGTAACTTGTATATACTATATGTTAATGGTACAAGTGAAAAAAAGGATTTTTCTATTAGAGAGGAACCATCAGCTTTCAGTGTTGATGCTACTTTATATCTCGTTGCAGCATTAAATGGTAAAATCTATGAGTTTAATGTAATGGAGGTGTTATTAAAATCAATGTTTGGTGTCGTATCAGATTGGCCGAAAGATGTCACTAAAATTATTATGTCTATAATAGAAACGGCTAAAGAAAATATGTTCTAATATTACAAAGACTAAACTCAAGATTTGTACTAACAATTGATAAGATTGTTGAAAGAATATAACAAACTAATAAAATAAGTACAGGAATAAAAAAAGAAACAGTACTTTTAAGAATTGTTATATAACTTTTGTAGGTTACTTTGCAGGTTGTGTTCAGCTATAAGTAATTGTCCATTTAGATCATAAACAATTACATGTAAATAAGTTAATTTGTATGTATGTAACAATTATTGGTGATCCTAAATAAATGAAACATCAAATTAATAATTATATAATGGTCTATGTATTCTCCCAAATTTGAATTTAAAATTAATATGGATTATTGTAAACATGTATAATTAGATTTGAAAGAACACGAGCTGAGTTTCTTGTCAGTTCTTCTCATCTCGAAATCATTCCGAACTGACGGTAGATTTGACATTTCATAAGAGTCTGTATATATCATAAGAGTATGTAATAGACCTACATGAATAAAGATATTTTGATTTGATACATTTATTGTTGTTAACCATTGTTAATACTCATAGTATTACCACAGATAATATATATTACCATTGCGCATACTGCTATGACGCGCCTTGCATATTGTGCATCTGTGGCTCATTGCGTTTGCGCGGGAAACTAACTACAAAATGGCTTCTTCTGTAGACATTCTTATAAACTGTTGTACGTCTGATTACTGCTTATTTTATACTCCTCTACATAACTATATATGTCTGCAAGATACTTTTACATGAATATACTACTTTTATACAACAAAACCTGTATATAAATACAGCCCCTATAATCATACGCTAACAACCATAATAAGAAAACGGTCACTTTTTTTTTTATTAAATATAACTAGAGCTAGAGCTGAGATCGTGTGTATGAGCAAATTTTAAAGTAACATTGCAGAGTGTATTCGATTGTATAACCATCAATGTTATTGGTAGTAAAAATAAGAATTACTTAATTGTCAGTGATCCCACACTAACAGATGAAAAGAAGGCATCTAACCGCAAGAAAGATATTATTTTGGAAGCGACAAGGTACAATACAAAACTTGCATAAATAAATTTCGTGTATCTTATTATCATAAACTGCTGGTTCTTAAGAAGCCTATCATACCTGTGGTGGATAATATTGTATGTATTATGTTTGTATGTCGGTTCTTTATGTGCAGAACCTATTGCATCTACTCGATAACTATATAAAATAAATTGCAAAAAAAGAGCAAAATAAAATCGCATATTTTCGTATGACAAAATTAACAACTCAAAATTATGTACATTTTTTATTAATAGTAAAAAAGTGGTTTTGAGTCCATAACAGTACCTATTTTATTTTTCTTTGTTGTAAATGTTAAATATTTCCCACGACGTTGATGGGAAGGCAAAGTTTTATAGCATATCCGGTCATAAATTCCCATAGCTACATGTGCTAAATCTGGTCATATATATAATTACTAGCTGTGCCCGCGACTTCGTCTGCGTTATAGTTACCTTAACCAAATATAGAAGAAATATTTAATAATCGAACCCAAAAAAGGCAAAGAAAAAAGATTCCTCGTTATAGCTTCAAAAATGACGATTTTTATACAAACTTTCATCCCTTATTTTTTACCCCCTTAAGGGTAACAATTTTACAAACTTAGTCATATTTATTTATAGTATTTAATAAACAGCCTAAAAGTAAGTTTCAAAATCCTAGTTTTAAAAATGATGATACTTGCATTCTACCCTTCATCTCCCTTTTCAACCCCTTACAACCCTTTATTCGCGTTAAAAAGTAGCCTATGTCCTTTTTTAGGGTCTAGACTATCTGTGTATCAAATTTAATTTAAATCGGTAAAAAGTTTTGGCCTGAAAGCGAGATAGACAGACAAACAGAGTTACTTTCGCATTTATAATAAGGCAGTAAGGATTCATTATTTATATTGTTTTGTTTAATTCCAATATCCACGTGTGAGACTAGCAATACTTAGTGCTATAACCTGACCACCGTTACTGGACGCGTTACGATTTTCTCTAATGGTTATCAAATTCTATCCGTTGTTCAATCTATACTTATATTGCGGCATGTGTTTCGTCTCTGAACAAAACATCATCAGACATTAAATAGAGGTCGGATATAGCTTCGAAGCCTAGTGTTGCTTGTTCGATGACTAAATTTTTTGTTACCTCTGCTGCAAATACATGAGTACTTTTGCATGAAATAACGTATACCTTTAAAAGAATAGAATTGGGAACAAATGGAAATCATAGAATAAAACGTTGACGTAAATTTGTTGCATTTTTTTATTTACATTTGTATAATAATTGAGTTTCAATCCACAGTATTGGAAAATAACATTGCAAATCAACAATTTGATTAAATTCGATTGCTATTGACAGAAATTAGGTAGAGTGTAGTTTTAAAATCTTTTAATTTGGAAGGTGTTTTATCAAGCATTTTTGAAGGAAAATACAATAATGGTATTTACTATTTCAATACATAACAAGTAAAATTGAAGAACGAAAGTTATTTATGGATGTAATTGACTTCTCGATCGCGTGGCTAGAGATTTAACGGATTCCTTTTTATCTTTAAGAAAGCCAAGATCTAAAGAATTTTTCATTTCCCCTAATATCAGTGCCACGATATTTATTTCGTATATACGTTTATTGTATGCGAAATATTGAACGAGCGTAGCCTCTATACCGTACGCAGTGGGTTTTGCTTCCAAAACAAATTCAGTGAATCTACTTGTCCCGTTTGCATACAAATAGTAACCTTTATCATCAGAGACAAACGCTACGCAATCGTCTAAAACAAATGGAGGTTTTATTAGAGTGACTGATGAAGGATTTTCTGGTAATCCTGAGATTTTCTTTACTCCTTCAGCGTTTATTACATAAGGTTGCTTATCTTCTCCATAATAATAGATATTATCAGAATAGTCCAATACTACTCGTTGAGCATCACCCACTCCCTCAACTTTAGTTTTCTTAGTACCTTCTTCTGTAACTTTATACAATTCATGATTCGCTGTAATTATGTATAATACACTACTTGAATTTTCTTTTTCAATGTCAATGATGTTATCATTGAGCGTTCCATATTTTTCCGCTTTATTTTCCTTAACATTGTAAACGTAAAGACCATCGGTGGCAGCTAAGAAGACATTTTTCGAATCATCGTTAACCGGGGCTGCGCCTCTGCCATTTTCTAGCAGTTTTGTTGCAACATTTTTTTTAAATACATACAAGCCTTTGTAATCTTTATTGCCTTTGTCATCTATATCTGCTTCCACAAAGAATATAAGAGCCGACCCATCATCATTTTCTGTAGAGAAGTTATCGGAATCATCATCAAAGTTTAAACCATTAAGCGGCACAACTAGTCGAACAATATCATGTGTGCTTGTATATTTTATTATGTCTTCAGAGAAGAAATCTTTAGTAACGACAAGAAGATCTTCATTCTCACTGGATGGAGCAGCATTCACTGCGATTAAGAGCAGAGTTAACGCGAATGTTGTAGAAATAATCATTATGGTGTCTGAAATATAGAAAATATTAACTTTAGAATACATTTTTACTTTAATACATCATTACTGATATCATCTATACATCTATACATATAAGTAAAATTGGAGTGTCTGTTTGTAATATTGAAATAACCGTTTTTTACTACATGCACATGTAAATACGGTACATACCCCAAAATTATATTTTTTACAATTTTCGTCTGTCTGTCTGTCTGTTTGTTCCCGCTAATCTCTGAAATGACAGGACCGATTTTGACGGGACATTTTTTGGCAGGTAGCTGCTGTAAGAAGGAAGAACTTAGGCTACTTTTATTTTAGAAAAATAAAGTTATTTTCCAGGCGGACGAAGTCGCGGGAACGGCTAGTTTTAAATAAATCAAATATGTGTTAGCACCCGTGGAATACGATAGTAATAAACTTTATTGATCTAAGAAACTTCTTTTTGCCAAGAAAAAACACATTACGGAATCTCTTCCGGCTACGATATTTCCGAACCGATACAATATCGATACCTTCAAGAAAAGAGTTCATTCCATTTTATTTTGGAAAAAATTAACTCCACACGGACGAAGTCGCGGTAACAGCTAGGACTGTATAAGAAATTTTTTTTTTTTTGACATTAATAATATGAATAATTCTGAACATGTTTCGTAATTTTTTATCGTTTTTATCGTATACGATTTAACGATAAATAAATTAGTGGCTTTAGAAGAATTGAGAATTTCATAATTTTGAATAACTTTGAATTTTAACAATTAAATAATTATTAATTATTAAATTCAAAGAGGCAAATATTCTCACCGTTGCTTCTCAATTTATATATTCAAATATCCTATATGTTCAATAATAATACTAGATTTCAAGACAAATTTGCTGTCTGCAAGTATCGTTTAGAATAGGTCTATTATGGAAATAGGTATAAAAATTTACAATAAGGATACCAAAGGATATATTGGAATTACCCTTAAATAAATTCAAAACATCTGTTAAATCATATTTACTGAGCAAAGCCTTACTCACTAAACGATTACTTGAATGACGAGCGTGCATGGCAATAGTTTTCATGTACGGGATTTTCATTTAATGTTATATATAGACATCTATATAAATATACATTGTATATAAACTGGCTTTTAAAAAAAAGGAATTCAATTGAGTTTCTTGCCAGTTCTTCTCAATTGGATCTATATACCGAAGTGGACGGTAGGGAAAAAAAATAATGTAAAAACTTGACGTTCATAAGCGGCTAAAATGTCCTACATGAATAAATGATGTTGACTTTGAATTTGAATTAAGTCCTAATTTGTTCATCATTATTATTGTAATATTCATTTTCTAGTACATTTCTGCATTCTGTGATAAACATAGCGTTTATCTGGATACGTTTATCTTTGTAGTTCGACCCATTCCGTGTAATGTTTTGAACTTTAATAATTAACCTACAGATATTATTATGTTGTTTATGATTACCAAGATCATACTTTGTTATGTACATAATATTCAAATTTAGTGAAATAAAAAAAGATCTTGATTTTAATGGAAAGATTTTAACTCCTCGCTACGCACAAGGACCATTGCGGGTGTCTAAAAGATGTGTGCTGACTTGCATTCCTTATTCCCAAGTATCCGAATATTAAACTAGTGGTGCCATCTATACGCTAATACAAGAAACCTTTTATCCCTCATCAACTCACAGCTGCTCTACACGTCACAGGCACTTTCAATACGCAACAGAACTTCTTATTTATTTAAGCTTTGCATTCCATAATTTTACAGTAGATAGATAGACAGGTACATTTCAAAGTAGGTTAATTATGGACCCTGGTGGGCACAACAAGCGGAAGAGAAGAGAGGAGGACGAGTTATTTTTTATATAATATATAATAATGATAATAAAAATAGTAATAATAATTAATAATTTGAAATTGTATATATTTAATTACTAAAATTGTATAATATTTAATTCAATATGTCATTTTTATATTCTAAAATTGTATAATAACATTTTTTAATCAACAATGTCTCGAGATTACTTATAAATATTTTATCATATTTTATCTCTTTTAAAGAAAGTGGTAAGTGATTATATATATTTATGGATTACACCAGAGGATCAATTGAATGTAGTGCTAACGAGCCTATTTCTGTCTCGTAAATTATATTTTTCACACCTTTCTTCGCGTGTTTTATAGAAATTGGGGTACTTTCGGACGAATTTACTGGTTTCTAGAATATAAATGCAAGTCAAAGTAAGAATATTATGTTTTTGGATATTCTTTGCGGCGCGATGCGGTAACGGCGGAAGTGTTTCAATTTAATTATTAATTTAAATAGCTAATAACAGTTTGTAGTTTGCTAGCCCTTAGGCAGTGAAAAGTGTAGTCAAGCTTTGGAAGACAAGCTTCTGGATTAGTTCCAGTGAATTCAAGCCTTCAAGAGATCGCCCCAGCCATCAACTGTGAGTCTTTCCTTATTTCTACCTTATGCAAGCTAGCCATTGTACGCATCCCTACTAGGTTAAGTACATCTCAAAACTGAGCTAACTTCTTTTTACCCCCCCTTGTCGGGTTCTAGGTTCTAAACGGAGGCAATCCTTTCCAGGCCCGACCAAGATGTCTGTGGTGCTGTTCATGTCTATAGGCGACGGTGACCACTTACCATCAGGTGGGTCGTCAGTTTGTTTGTCAATAATAAAATCGGTTTAGTATTTACTGAGTTTCTCTATTACAAACTAATAAAGTTACATAAATACACATATAAATGAAATTGGAGTGTCTGTTTGTAATATTGAAATAATCGGCTAATCTCGGAAATGGCTGGACCGATTTTGAGAGAGCCCATTTCAGAGATTAGCCGAAACTAACAGACAGACAGACAAAAATTGTAAAAAATGTTATTTTGATGTATGTATCGTATTTATTCATATTACATGCATATTAATATATACTATACATACACCAAAATAACATTAAAAAAAAACAGTTAAAAGCAGTTTTTTTGTAAAAACAGTTATTACAATATTACAAACAGACACTCCAATTCTATTTATCCTAAAGAAGGTGTTACATATGAATGTGGATGGTTATAAGGGTAGAGGAAGACCGAAAAAGAGATGGACGGACTGTGTGATAGATGATATGGTGAGAAAGGGAGTAAATAACGAGTTAACCGCGAACAGAGATGAATGGAAGAGAAAAACATATTACGACGACCACAAATAAATGGGATAAGGAAGAAGCAGATGATGATGATAATTATATAGTACTTGATGGAAAGCTAGACTTACCACTGTGGTACTCACACGCAGACTAATTACTAAAGACACCCAGAGGTCATTCTTAAATCACTCACAGACAGATAAGGCGAATTTGCTTTTATGTAAACATGATAATAGCATTGTGGCCTAGTGCCTTAGTATACCGATTTGGTTAGAAATGACCTGTGTTTGAATCTGATGACACAGAAAGATTGGTTGAAGATATCCACTGTATCCGTGGAAATTCATACAGCGCCATCTAGTCTCAAGATAAGCTGAGCTATTGTTATGAGTATTAGTGGTACTAGACATCTCATAGATATACTTAGATATTTTTTTGTAAATACATACATAACATACTATTTTATTATCTAACTAACAGTTCCCGCGAGTTCGTCCGCGTGGAATTTATTTTTATATTTTTTTTTCTGAAATAAAAAATAAAACCAAAATAAAAGTAGCCCGAGTTACTTCTTATTACATCAGCTACCTGCCAGAAAAGTCCCGTCAAAATCGGTCCAGCCATTTCAAACATTAGCCGGAACAAACAAACCGACAGACAGACAGACAAAATTATAAAAAATGTTATTTTGGTAATTGTACCATATTTATATTCATATGCATGTAGTAAAAAACGGTTATTTCAATATTACAAACAGACACTCCAATTTTATTTATATGTATAGATGTATAAATAATATTTATTCAAAAGTGCTTATGTTGAGTTTATTTGAATAAAGATTATTTCTATTTACATTTCTTCATGTATCGAATAGGTAGACTTCTTGACGATGTATCTGTACAGGAAAATGAGTAGAGCCTTGTAATATATATATACTGTATTTTAATAAAAATATAATATTTTTAAACACGTATAATTTATTAAATATTTGTTTAATCACACTGTACAATACTTGGTCTTCAATTAAATTAAATTTACTATTAAAATTACATTAACATTGGATATAGCATTTTTTTCTTAATCTAACATTAAATATATTTATTTTATGGAAGGGTAGAGCACATAGCTCGTAGGACAGATGACCGTTGGGGCAATAAAGTCCTCGAGTGGCGACCGCGGACCGGAAGACGCAGCGAGGGAAGGCCTCCAGCAAGGTGGACCGACGATCTGGTCAAGATCGCTGGAAGGCATTGGATGCGAGCAGCGCAGGACCGATCGTCGTGGAGATATTTGGGGGAGGCCTTTGTTCAGCAGTGGACGTCCAGGCTGAGATGATGATTTTATGGAAGTAGGCGTTATTTTGTGGAAGTACATTTCATTTATTTTGTTTAATTCCGATACCATTAGCATGTGTGAGAGCACAAATGTTCAGTGCGGAAATCTGATCATCACTACTGGAAGCGTTATGACTTTACGACCTTCTCTATTAGTGATCAAGTTTCTAAACTAAATTTTCGTGGTCTCACTCGTGCTATTGGTGACGAAAATAGAGGTAATAGAAGTAAGTTAAATTTCGCTACCATTACCATGTGTGAGGCCACAAACATTCAGTGCGGAAACTTAACCCCCGCTACTGGAAGCGTTACGACCTTACCCTATTGGTGATCAAATTTCCAAATTAAATATTTGTGGTCTCACACTTGTTAATGGTCACAAAAATAGAAGTAAGTTTAATTCCACTACCATTTGCATGTGTGAGACCACAAATATTCAGTGCGGAAATCTGATCATCACTACTGAAAGCGTTATGACCTTACGACTTTCTCTATTAGTGATCAAGTTTCTAAACTAAATTTTCGTGTTCTCACATGTGTTAATGGTGACGAAAATAGAGGTAAGTTTAATTCCGCTACTACATGTGTAAGGCCACAATCATTCAGTGCGGAAATCTGATCATCACTACTGGAAGCGTTATGACGTTCCCTATAGGTGATCAAATTTCCAAACTAAACATTTGTTGTCTCACTCGTGTTAATGGTGACAAAACTAGAGGTAAGTTTAATCATGTGTGAGACCACAAATATTCAGTGCGGAAATCTGATCATCACTACTGGAAGCGTTATGACTTTACGACCTTCTCTATTGGTGATGAAATTTCTAAACTAAATATTTGTGATCTTACACGTAATGGTGGCGAAATTAAGATTAAATTAAATTAAAGGTACGGTTATTTGAATAATCTTTTATGTAATGTAACTTTGACCGTTAGACTTGCTTTGATTTAGGCATACCCTAGTCATAGATAAAATGTTACTTCAGTTAAGTTTTCCGAAATTCAAGTTACTCTTAATCTTTATATATTTTTATATTAAATATATATATATATATATATATATCTTATATATAAAATTCTCGTGTCACAATGTTAGTTACCATACTCCTCCCAAACGGCTTGATCGATTTTTATGAAATTTTATATGCATATTCAATAGGTCTGAGAATAGACTACTATCTATTTTTTATACCTCTAAGTGGTAAGAGATATCCACCCCTAAATTTTCACCCTTCTAGCATCAACCCCTATTTCTTAGGGGGTAGCTAGTATATTTGATATATTTTATATATTTGACTTGGTCAGATAGGATTCTTTATTATAACAACTTTTTTAATAGTTTAGAGGTTAGACCGTCTCAGGTTATAACTACTGGCGTTGACACCATATAGACTTCTGAGGTATTCATTTTGGTACCTGAAATATAGAAAGATGGAATGTTAATTTATACCTATTCAAAATTCTGCTTTATCTATATATACATGGTGTCCTAGAAGGTAATTAGAGTATATACATCGGGGTAAATAAAACTTTGAAAAAAAAAGAAATTTTACTTGAAAACTTTGCAAGTAAAATTTCTCTTTTTGTATCGTCTTGATCTCTAAAAAATGTCACTGTTCTATTAGAGATCATCTCTAATTTACGTCACACGTTACCTCCAACGTGGACCGCAATGTTACACTTTGTATAAACTATCCAAAGTGTGACATTGTGTAAAGGTGCTGTGGTAGTCACAAACTCCGTGTAAAAATATTTAAAAATAATTCTCTAATTAAATCGGTTCTGTCTATTATTAATATTATAAACGCGAAAGTTTGTGAATATGGATGGATGTTTGTACCTCTTTCACGCAAAAACTACTGAACGGATTTGAATGAAACATTACCTTATATGTTACAATATATTGTGGTAGGAAATAACATCTGTAACACAGAGATTCCCTAGCACAGATGTTACGTCTATAAATTAGTGACATTGTGTAGAAATTAATAAATATATTATCCTACATGTTGGCTATAAATTTTACGCAGCTGAACCGCGGGCACAGCTAGATCTCATAATATTGTTAATAAAGTACATTAACTTAAATAGTGATACATAAATGAATAAAACGATATTTGTATAACTCTGCCAGCGTATATAAACAACAGTAACATCACATCAGTATTGGCATCATCATCATCAGAAAAAACAGAAAAGATGAGAATGTTTATATAATTCATCAGAGGAACATAAAATCGTTTACACGTGTAACTCCGTATCACACTTCATCATCAGTATTGTTATTCATCATCATTATTTTTATCAATGTTACTACTATAATGGTAAATATGACCATCAGAAAAATAAAAATGAGAAGTTATTTATATAATCCCCTAGAACAGGATAGGCGAAGCGATATGCATCAACGTGCCATTTTTACCAAAAAACGTTTAATTCATTGACGCGCCATCAAATAATTTTAACTTTCTGATTATTTGGAAAATAATAATAATAAATACTAGCAAAACTCTCTATGAAATAAAGTAAACAAAAGAGATACATTTTGGATTGCTTTCATTACACGCATAAATTAAATTACTGTAAAATTAGTGTGACTTCTGTTGTTGCAGGTTAGATGACAAATGATTTATGTCAGGCTTGTACTATGTTACTCTTAGCAAAATGCATGCTGAACTGGATTCGTCTGTCAAACGGTTTCTAACAGAGTTTTTAATGTTATTCATCTCTGAAAATAATGACTCGCAGGCATAGGTAGATGAAAATAATTTTGAAATAGCATGAGCCAGCTTCTTCAAACAGTTTTATGATCGACGACGTGCCCAAAATATTGAAATAGAAATAGAAATAATCTTTATTCAAATAAACTTAATATAAGCACTTTTGAATAGTCAAGTTTTTTTTATTCTACCGCTTATTCGGAATGCAGATTCATCACAAGAAGAATAAGCAAGAAACTTGTGTTGCTCTTTTAAATAAATATTGATTTACTTATATTTAATTAACAACAAGGATTAGGCATGCGACAATCAACATAGAAACCGCTACGCACTTAATCTCTGTTCAATCAGATAATATTGTCAGCGCTATGAATTTTAAGTTAGATATTTTCTACAAAATCATTATTATCATTTATAAATTCTTCAATTTTATAATAAGCTTCTTTACAAAGAGAATGTTTTATGATTGTGTCGCTATGAACTTTAAGTTAGATATTTTCTACAAAAACATTATTATCATTTATAATTTCGATTTTATAATAAGCTTCTTTACAAAGAAAATGTTTTATGATTATGTCGTTTGCCGTCAATGGCACACATGCCATTGGTTCGCCTACCCTGCCCTAGAAGGATCAGACAGTGTAGCCTGGGTGCGTGTAATTCTGCCATCAACCAATTTGGCTTCGAGGCTGGTTTAAAGATGATGACGGAAATTGGCCGGTACAGCTGGCTTAATATTAGTCCTGGAATTAGTGATACCACAGATAACATAATAAGGTAATATTAAGGTTTCTTAAGGGTATATTAAGGTTTCTTAAAGGTCGGCAACGCGCACGTGACACCCCAGGGGCTTCAGGCGTCCATAGGCTACGGTAACCATTTACCATCAGATGGGCCGTATGCTTGTTTGCCATCATAGTAGTATAAAAAAAAGGTGATACGAGCGTAACTGCTCATGTCAATGGGTGATACGTTATATTATCTAAAAATATATAACTCAAAGATGACTGACATAGTGATCTATCAACGCACAGCCCAAACCACTGGACGGATCGGGCTGAAATTTGGCATGCAGGTAGATGTTATGACGTAGGCATCCGCTAAGAAAGGATTTGATAAATTCTACTCCCAAGGGGATAAAATAGGGGCTGAAAATTTGTATGAAACTTTGTCAATTTTAAACCGATCGGGCTGAGACTTTGCATGCATAAAGCTACTATGAATTAGGCATTTCCTAAGAAAGGATTTTGATAAATTCCACCCCCTAGGGGATAAATTAATGCGAGCGAAGCCGCGGGCAAAAGCTAGTGTTCAATAAACATAAAAAACTAGGGAAAAAGAAAAGAAGAGAACTTCTTTCGCAGTTAACGTACTTTCTGACCTTTTTCTTTTGGGTTTTCCAACGGTTTGGTGATACCAAGCGAGGATAGTATCCGTTTCTTTTAAAGAGAAAATTATATTTAAAGCTAATGTAATTTAAAATTCACAATTTTATTTACAAATAACAATTAGATTATTTTTAAATTAGTGTTTGAAAACGGGAGGCAAAGCTAGACGCAAAACTAAAGCGAATTACTATGTTTTTATGAGTATAATAAATAAAAAAAAGTCGGTTGTAAAATAAAAAACAATGTAAACTTAAAATAAAAAATTTATTTATAAAACATATTAATTCTCTGGAATATATAAATAACATTGGCGTCAAATTCGTACATTCACATTGTATATAAGGCATCGCGGATAGTCTTACAATTAATAAAAATAACTACAAAATATCATATTCAATTTAAATTACTAAATACATTTATATATTTCACATTGCAAAAATGTCAAGTATCAGCCATAATGACTTGAGATTTTTACATCCAACACAAATAAAACAATTCAATAAAAAAATTGTCGTATTTTTTTTATATTAATTTTATAAAAAGTATTGTACTCAATAATATAATAAATTTAATTGGAATTGAGGGAATTATGGTAATTTTGGGCAATAAATTTCTTACCAAAATTCCCTACTTTTTTTTTTAAGTAAATTTATTGTCATTTCGTTTAACAAAGTCTTAAAAATATATCTAAAATAATAGAAAACATTTAAATGACAGAAAGCATTAGGAAGCATAATAATCGGCAAGTAATAATCGCTTAATAACTACGGCAGTTAGATTTTTAAATACTGTTATTTGAGCTTAAAATTAAACCTATTTAAAATCTGTATTAGAATTATTGAATATATATTTATATATAATTAATTTATAATTCTGTTAAAATATTTATATTATATACGTTACAATAATGGATTTAATTGTCATGATTTTGTATAATATACTATATATTGTAACTTAATATATTATACAAAAATAAATACAGTATAAAATCATCATTATGCCATTTAAATATATATATAAATGTATATATATAATATAGAATAGACATTTAAAGCTGTACTTAAATTAATCTTAACAAAATTGCAAATATTTAATATATAATATATACTTAAAGTTACAATATATATTTGATAGAAAAACATTTTTTTCGAGATCAAACAACGAATTAAGGATACTTTTGTTCCATAATAAAGAGAAACAAAAAGTGCAACAAACGAAAATAAATAAATAAATGTAACGGAAATAACGAAAAGTTAATGAAAATCGCAAATTATGTACAACGATATTTATACAATTTTAATGAAAGAAAATAATGAAAAGTACTTGAAATTAGAATAGTCGATGTGTTTGAATATTAGATAGTTTATTAAGTCATTAGGAAGTTCTTTTTTTAATGCAATATTGGTAAAATTTCTGTTTCCATTACATCTCTACCGTTACTGTGCCTTCCATATTACTTCTAATAGTCGCAAATAATTCATTTGCAGAACAAAAATTACGTATTAAATTAATTTAAAATAAACAAAATAAAATAGGAAACAAGTTTAACGAAATTTGTTTCGTAATTTGCATGCTCGCAATAAATGACGAAATGAAAGTAATGGAAATGAATTAGAGGCAACTAAGAGAATAATTTGAGAGGTCCCGTAGGTGGGAACATGTCGCTGCCTCACTTGGAGTGGACGAGGTTGAGGAACTCCTCCCTGGTCTTGGGGTCGTCGCGGAACACCCCCAGCATGGTGGAGGTCACCGTCTTGCTGTTGATCTTCTGGACTCCTCTCATCACCATGCACATGTGTCTATTGACAATAATAATAAACATAATTTAATACATTTAGCCCTAGTTGTCGAAATAGATGAGGCTCCAAAACCAGTTCCCTCGAAAAATCTAAAAACACTTTAATTACATTTGTAGATAGTCGAGTACGGACAGGATAAAAAAACACATATATATTTTTGAATACAAAATAAAAAGTATAAACTGTAACCATTTTTCGGTTATGGTGGTTATTTTTTTTATTTTTGTCCATTTAAACTTTGGAACCGAAACACTAAACAACATTTCTAGAGCCACAGTCAAAAATTACACAATTGCACCAAGTTTTCTAGAATTAAGACTATTTGTTAAACAATGAATTTAAATTTTCAAAATTTGTCGACTTTGAAATGCCGTCTTTAAAAAAAAATGTATTAAAGTGTCTAGGGACGTGCCATGAAAAGTTCGCGCATTTAATCAGGATTGTAAAATGGTAGAAAGAAAGTTTTTTATTCGCACAAGGTTTAGGTTCTTAATTTTACGGCAAAATGGTGAGAGAGATGGATAGTGGACATGTTTGCCATGAGTGAGCGAGACAGATAGTGACGCCACTTTTACCAAAGTCTAATAGATATATATATATACTATTTAATGTAATTAATAAAATTTAATTGAATAACAAACAACCGTGATGGCCGCGTATATATGAATATATGAATTGTTATTGTATTATGAACTCTTATTGAAGTATAATATACTACATCTAGGTAATCTGAATCATGTAATACTAAAAATAAGTGAGTCTCTATCATACTTCTAAATAATTCGAAGACTAAAAAAAAGTTTAATCAAAATATAATTATTCGAATAACGCCATCTAGCTCTTCTAAATAGAACTAAAATACTAGTGCCATCTATGCGCTAACGTGGACACTAAATGGCAACTAAGTAATATTTCGCACAAGTTCAACAAAATGTTCTCTCAGTTGGTTTTATTTATGTAATTACTAGCAAACGTTAACATTATCTATACATATGTATAAATAAAATTGGAGTGTATGTTTGTAATATTGAAATAACCGTTTTTTACTACATGCATATGAATATAAATACGGTACATACACCAAAATAACATTTTTACAATTTTTGTCTGTCTGTCTGTTTGTTCCGACTAATCTCTGAAATAGCTGCACCTATTTTGACGGAATTTTTAATAGCAGGTAGCTGATGTAATAAGGAGTACCTAACTTAGGCTACTTTTATTTTAGAAAAATAAAATCATATTCCATGCGGACGAAGTCGCGGGTACAGTGGTGAGGTGATAAAAAATTTGACTTTCATAAGCAGCTAAAATGTCCTACATGAATAAATGATTTTTTAATTGAATTTGATGACTACCGCGCTACATAAAGAAACATATACTAACACTCCTTCGATGACAACTGCGACGCCAGCCGGGCGCACAGCTTGTGTTACGGCGATTGCTATCTGTTTGGTGAGACGCTCCTGCACCTGCAGCCGACGGGAGAATATCTCCACGATCCTGGAACAAGCCTTACTTATTGTAAACACCTATTGACGACCTCGGTGGTCTAGCGGTCTAGTACACCGCTTTACGCCCGACGGTCGCGGTTTCGATTCCCCGCACGCACAAACATTTATAAAATATTCATGAGTATGATTGTTTGTATCGGTCTGGGTAATTTCTATGTATAATATGTATTTACGAAAAAAAAATTATCTATGTATTTGTATCAGTTATCTAGTACCCATAACACAAGCTTTAGCTAGCTTAACTTGGGTCTAGATGGCGCTGTGTGAATTGTCCTGAGATTATTATTATATAATTTAAATAAATTCAAAATATCTATTAAATCATATTTACTGAGCAAAGCCTATTACTCACTAAACGATTACTTGAATGACGAGCGTGCATGGCAATAGTTGTTCATGCACGGGATTTTCATTTAATGTTAGACATAGACACCTATATATATAAGTATAAATTGCAAATAAACTGGCTTTTAAAAAGAAAAAATAAGTAATTCAAATTGAGTTTCTTGCCAATTCTAATCAATTGGATCTATATACCGAACTGGACGGTAGAGAAAAAATTAAAATACAAAAAAAAATCTACCTGGCGAGCTTGCTAAGGCCCAAGATCTTGCCTTGGGGCAGGTAACCAATGGAGACCTTCCCGTAAAATGGCACCAAGTGATGCTCGCACATGGAGAACATCTCTATATCCTTCACCACTACCATTTCGTCTGTGTCTTCATCGAATATTGCATTGTTCAGGACCTCTGCAATTATAATTATTACATAGTATAAAATAACGCTGTTGCTGTCTGTCCCTATGTATGCTTAAATCTTTAAAAGTACGCAACGGATTTTGAAGCGGTTTTTTTAATCGATAGTGATTCAAGAGGAAAGTTTATATGTATAACACAGGTACACTCTTGCGAAGCCAGGGCGAGTAGCCAGTAATAGAATAGAATAGAATAGAATAGAAATAGAAAACCATTCACCGTATTTTATAGTACATACACACTACATGATGATCTCGCTGTCTAAAAACGCTACTTTACATATGACTTGCCTCGTAGACAGAGATAATAAATAACCCTGGACAATTAACACAGCGCCACCTAGTCCCATGCTAAACATAAATACATAGATATTTCTATACACATAGCAAACACCCAGACCGATACAAACAATCATACTCATGAATACAAATGATTGCACCGTGCGAGGAATCGAACCCGCGACCATAAGAAGTAAAGCGATATGCTAAACCGTTACACCACCGAGGCCGTCTATCTCTTCAAGATTTTTTGTGTTTTACGAGTATAGTAAACATGAGTACGCAGAGTAATTTATTTATCACCAGATGATCATACCTTCAAGGCTTTGGTCGTATCCCTTGGTGAAGAACAGCATCGCTTTGGCAGCACGTTCAGGTGTCTTCAGCAGGCCCTGTCTTTCAGGATCTTCACCCAGACCTGTAAAATATAAATTTAATTTTCTTTAATTATATTAGCATAGCCCACTGTTTATGGTTATATAAACGCGAAGGTTTCTGATGCTACGTTTACATTCAGCCGCTTCCCCTGTCACTCTCGCTGCCGGAAATATTGGCGGGCGACAACTGAGCGAGAGGGCTGAATGTAAAAACACGCTGCCACTCGCGCTGCCAGTCCTTTGACTCGCGCACGAAAAACCGACAATCGAGGGAGCGCCGGGCAGCGCGAGTGGCAGCGACAATGGCATGGGAAGTGTTTCCACTCGTGTTTACACTCTCGCGCTGCTCACTTCCCTGCCCACTCGGGCTGAGTGTAAATTGGGTATGAGTATGGATGGATGTTTGTTACTTCCACTTATGAAACTTTACAGTAATATAGTTTATATATTAGAATAATACATAGGCTATAGCTTAGGCCGGAACAAACAGACAAACAGACAAAATTGTACAAAATGTTATTTTGATGTATGTACCGTATTTATATTCACATGCATGTAGTAAGTAACTGTTATTACAATATTACAAACAGACACTCTAATTTTATTTATATGTATATATGTATAGATATATGTGCAATCATTACATAGTATAAAACAAAGTCGCTGTCGCTGTCTGTCCCTATGTATGCTTAAATCTTTAAAACTACGCAACGGATTTTGAAGCGCTTTTTTTAATAGATAGAGTGATTCAAGAGGAAGGTTTATATATATAATACATGTACACCCGTGCGATGCCGGGGCGAGTAGTTAGTTATAAATAAATAGCTAAAATAGATGAGAGTGAGTTACCCACTTTTATAAAGTTACTTCGGTAACAGTTATAAGGAAATAGTAGTTACCTGTCAGCAGGAGTCGGTAGGAGTTGGCCATGTCAGGGAGTAACGCTTCTCTTGTGGGTGGTCTGTGATCCAGCTCCAGGTCATGGTGGAATGTGCAGTTCTCGTGCCCTGTGGAAGAAACAGAGAATAAATAAATAAATGCGACAACGTCACATAGGAACAAACTATGCAGAGCTTAGTGTAGCCAACTTTTGATTTTACCTAAATGTCGTTTAACTAAAGTTATTCGTACGCAATTGCGTAAGGTTACACAACAAAATACCAGAGTCTGTTATAAATGTGCCTGAAAAAGATTTAAATGTCAAATAAAACACTTCCTTTGCAAAAAAGCTTACTATAAAATAAAAGAATTCGTTAACGATAATAATGTTTTTATAGTTATACTAGCTGTCCCGGCAAACGTTGTTTTGCCTTAAAATAAAAAATAAAAAAATTAGGGGTGGACTACCCCTAACATTTAGGGGGATGAAAAATAGATGTTGGCCAATTCTCAGACCTACTCAATACGCTAACAACATTTCATGAGAATCAGTCAAGCCGTTTCGGAGGAGTATGGGAACGAAAACTGTGACACGAGAATTTTATATATAAGATTTTAGGTCTTTGCTTTGCTTGTTTTAGGGGGTAGGGGAGTCTATATGATGATGACGTCATTGGTAATTATTTACTTTTTTACACGAATTGCAACCCTCACATTGACTTTGCCAAAAAAAACAATACATTAATTGAAAAATGTTTACTTAAACTTGGGGGGAGGGGGTAAGTGCTTTGCTTACTTTTGCTGACAAGGGGAAGGGGGGTGGGTGTAAATAATTGTAATAAATCTGCTTATGTAACACTTAAACCCCCAATATAACTAACAACCCCCTTTCGCCCTATGAGATCAGGTTAGTTTGCCCATTACTTTATGTGGATGTGGTTTAGCACACCAAGCTACGAATCCTGGAAACAGATCCAAGGGACATAAGCCTAACGGTGGGCTACCTCATGCTGAAGAAGACGATGACATGAAAGGAGGCGGTTACTCTTTATGACATTCGCAATCTTTGTACCATCAAAATCTGTCCATCCGTTTCAGAGATCAGTAAGAACAAACAGCCGGACAATTTTTTATATTTTTTTTATGATTGTTTTTTTAAACTATGACGGTGGCAATTGGGCATACGGCCCATCTGATGGTAAATGGTTACCGTAGCCTATGGACGCCTGAAACACCAGGGGTGTCACGTGCGCATTGCCGACCCTTAAGAAACTTTAACAAGAAGAACTAACAAGAAACTCAGCTCGTATTTTTTTTTAAATAAATGCATGAGATTTTTCAAGAAGGGTTTCTTGAAAAACCTCATGATATTTTGTATACCTATAAACTTAGTATGGTTATATGCATTTAATGAAATCTGTATTATTGTAAATATGTACAATTATTTAAAAAAAAAATACGAGCTGAGCTTCTTGTCAGTTCTTCTCATCTCGAAATCATTCCGAACTGACGGTAGATTTGACATATCATAAGTCTGTAATAGACCTACATAAATAAAGATATTTAGAATTTTTTTTAATGTTTTAAAAAGCTATCAATTTGAAATAACAAACAGACATTTAAACTTTATTTGTTGTATATATTTGTGGTTTTTTTTTACAATGTAAACACGATTTGTAAAGCATGGCATACAGCAATCTGATATTATTGAGGATAAACATTCTGAATAATGTAACGAAATACAAATATTTACCATATATTGACATTTTAGTATGTATGCTATCATATTTATTGAGCAAAACCTATTACTCACTAAACGATTACTTGAATGACGAGCGTGCATGGCAGTTGTTCATGCACGGGATTTTCATATAATGTTTTTTTTTTTTCATAACACAGAGGACAAACGAGCATGCGGCTCACAAACTACCAACGAGCACTAATTTATTAGGGTTAAATATGAATACACAAAAGATTCATAAACAATAATTCATAAATATGAATAAACAATCATACTCATGAATACAAATAATTGTACCGAACGACGAGTCGAACCCGTAAGTTGTGTGCTAAACCGTTAAACCACCGAGGTCGTCAGTTTTACTCACAATTATGTGCAAATTCGATTGGAAATCACAGATTCGTTCCGAACAGACAAATTATGTTTATTTAAATCTTTAACAAGTAAAATACCGACACATTTATAACAATATTCAAGTCATCCGATGAATATTAATTACCTTTTGATTGTTGATTTAATTAGAGATGAAATCATGCCAGTTTTATTATCAAACATACCTTTTTTATGGCCTTTGAATGACTTTGAAAACAAAATCTTTGTTTCAATTAAAAAATTACTTGAAAACAAAATCTTTGTTTCAATGAAAAAAATACTTGAAAACAAAATCTTTGTTTCAACGAAAAAATTATATTGAAAACAAACTTTTCTTTGCACGAATAAAGGACTTTGAAACCAAAATCTTTGTTTCAACGAAAAAATTACAATAAAAACAAAATCTTTGTTTCAACGAAAAAATTACATTGAAAAAATAACTTTGTTTTGACGAAAATTGCATGGAGTGATTGGTGGATATAAAAGATTATACTGTCATGCGAGGAATCGAACCAGCGACCATCGGAACTAAGGCGGTTTGGTAAACCGCTAGACCACCGAGGCCGTCAACAATAATCAATATTAATTACTGGAACTATCAATTACCCATACAATTAACTGCCATTTAATGACAAAGAAAAATCTTTGACACGGAATTCAACCTTAGACGAACGATTCTAAGAAATCATCACGGCTACATCCATTTTAACCAGATTAAATAGAACAAATATTAGGAATGCAAACGATACACCGATCAACCGAGTTATCGAACATAACTCATATAAATAAAATTGGTGTGTCTGTTTGTAATATTGATATAACTGTTTTTTACTACATGCATATGAATATAAATATAGTTCATACACCAAAATAACATTTTAAAAAATTTTGGTCTGTCAGTCTGTCTGTTTGTTGCGGGTAATCTCTGAAATGGCTGGACCGATTTTGACGAAACTTTTTTTGGCAGGTAGCTGATGTAATAGGGAGTAACTTAGGCTACTATTATTTTAGAAAATTAAAGTTAAATTCCACGCGGATGAAGTTGCGGGAACAGCTAGTTTAATAATATATTTATATCATAGAAGTATCGATCATAAACATCGATATTTGGTCGATACATCGTTCCCACATTCACAAACATCGACATGACCATAGTTGTTCAGTCCGTTCGGAATTTCAGAATCACTGTGGCGTTGCGCATAACTCATTATATATGTATATGTGTATGTGTATATTTGTGTATTTTTGTGTATATATATTATTGTTGTCTATGACATAACTTTTTAATTGTCTATTTTTAATATAATTGTCATTGATTTCTTTGTAGTGTAACGATGACAGTTCACGTACCTATATTAATTATATATCTGATCTAAAATAATTAATTTTTATTATTTATATATATCTATTGTTATACACAAAGTTGTGTCAGAAACAATTGTCTATATATTTAATTGTGACGCGTATTATTTATTGTACCTATTTCTACCACTCTGCAATTCCTCTCAGTAACTCAAAGGTTGACTGGAAGAAATCCCTCTTCTGGGATAAGTCCGCCATTGTACGCATTTTTTTTTAAGTCAAATAAATGATACATATAATTTATGAGCATTAGAGTATGTGTGTGTGTGTATGCGCGCGTTTTAAAGCTGTATGCGTTTTGTGTATTTTTTTTTGTATTCACGTCCATAACTTTGCGTCTGTTTTATGTGAGTATATACAAAAAATACAGCAATTAAACTATTAAGTTTTCGGTTTCATCATAAGAGAGGTTTAAAACTAATTAATTATTTTAATTTTTAAATTGGACGAGTAATGTGCTCATTCCATCATCATCATCATCAGTACATAGTATAAAACAAAGTCGCTGTCGCTGTCCATCCCTATGTATGCCTAAATCTTTAAAACTACGCAATTAAAAAACATCTGCAAAAACATCGATATATCGCTCTTATTAACAATATTTTTTCATATCAATGTTTTTCAAACAAACATCGATCTTTTTCACGATGTTGCATCTCTAACAAATATTGAATCACTCTTATCCACGGAACCCCAAGGGTGTACTTTGATTAGGGTAGTTAAATAAAATAAACTAAAATGAAACTATGAAAATATTTCCACAGTGGTTGTTGTATTATGTGTTGTTATTTTTATTACGGACTACTCTAATGCTGGCTGCAGCTGGCCTTTACAGCTTCACCGGACGATAGGGATGGCATCCCAAACCCACGAAAGGACATGGAGCGTCTGAAGGCCAACTCCAGCCGGATGGATACGACTTTAGTCTGAAGGCACCGCTAGGGGTTCGAACCTCGGCTCAGGCCGTCGTAATTTCGATCCCCGTTTGAATTGGACGACGGATCGATCTGTGACTTTGTATGTCTGTATATATATCAACAATGTTTTTTAATTTATGTATAATATTATTATTACATTGTAACTTACTATGCTTTACTAGCAAACGAATTAAAAAACAAAATGTACTCCACGCAATGGCTAGTTCCTCATTAAAATAAGTTCAGATGACATTAGATGGATGATGCACCGGAAAATTGGTACCAACCTGGTGTGGTGGAAGTCCTCGGCGTCATCGGAGTACCAGGCACCTCCAGCTCACTCTCGTCATTCAAGTGGAAACTCTTCAACGCCTCCGGTGTTTTCTTGTATTTACTCACAAAAGATTTGTTCGTACTATTCTCAACTCCATTCTCTTCTGATATCGAATTCCTTATTGATCGAGAACTGACTCTTCTTATTAGTGCTGATGGTGGAATGGTAGGTTCGTTGTTGTCTTTTCCATTTATAGCGGACATTTTTTTTCTAGAATTGTTACGAATTGTTTTTACATGTGACCGTTACGATAGTACTGAGCGGATTGCGATGTTGTAATGTAACAATTTGTTATAACAATTGACTCCTGTTAAAGGTTATCGATAGATACTAATATGTTTGGAAAGTGTGTGTATACGTCTGTTTATCAGTATTGTATATATTATTTATTAGAATTATGTATTATTGATAGTTTTATAAGGAAATGTACGCCGACAGTAAATAAATAGGATAAGAAAGAAGCAGTTGATGAGTTTTAGACGAAGATGTAAAGGCAGAAGTTTGGTTATGTCGAAAAGTGTTTTATTGCCATATTGTCCACTAATAGTTTTTTACTGTGCATATTGGGCAAATAGGCTATTATATATTAGATTTACAAAATGAGTACAGTAAATTTTATATCATAAAAATATGATACTAATATAATAATATATATATACTAGTTGTACAGGCAAACGTTGTTTTGCCTTAAAATAAAAAAAATTAGGGGTGGACTACCCCTAACATTTAGGGGGATGAAAAATAGATGTTGGCCGATTCTCAGACCTACTCAATACGCTCACAAAATTTCATGAGAATCGGTCAAGCCGTTTCGGAGGAGTATGGGAACTAAAACTGTGACACGAGAATTTTATATATAATATTTGGGGACAGCAAGTTTGTCTTTAAATCTAGTATTAATATTATGAATATTGCTGTTTTTTGGAAATAAGTCAATATTTTTATGAACATATAGGATATTTGAATATATAAATTGAGAAGCAACGATGAGAATATTTGCCTCTTTGAATTTCTCTCTTAATGAGTCACGACTCTTCATACAGTAGATCGCTGTCTGTGTTATTATTGTAAAGATGACGAGTACGTTGGTTTGTTTAGTTGAATGTTATCTCAGGAAATATTGGATCAAAATTAAGAAATCGTTTATTGCTAGCCTACTTATCGAAGAAGTGTCCTGTCGAAGAACTGTCGGCCCATCTGATGGTAAACGGTTACAGTAGCCTATGGACGTCTGAAACAGCAGGGGTGTGCAGGGATGAGGATTGTTAGTAATGTGGATTGATAACCCCATAGCTAGCAAGATACCATGTCAGGTTGACCTCCACGCGGTTCCCCCCGAAACCATCATTTTAAATTCCTGGTGAATTTGTCATGATGTGCTAACTGACCTGACCTCATGCTTACCATCCTCTACTGGTGCCCCGCCAGCGTATACCGTTAGCGTAAGCGGGTATGGTGCACCCGTCCATTATCACACAAACAAAACACCAGGGGTGTCACTTGTGCATTCCGACCCTTAAGAAACCTAAGTATACCCTTCTTGAAAAACCCCGTTCGATATATTATATTCATATTATTTTCGTATATGTACTTGAAGGAAATCCAAATGTTTTCAATAGTGTTTATCACAACGTGAAACAAATTCTTCCACGTGTTGTTTATCTAATAATAGGGTTGTAACAATTATATTTATTACGTTATTACTGTCAATATACAAGATCAGAGCGTGGTTTTGTTGCTATGTTGCCTCGGTGGTCTAGTGGTATAGCACATCGCTTTACTTCCGATGGTCGCGGGTTCGATTCTTATCCATCTAAATATTTATATCAGTTGTCTAGTAATACAAGCTCTGCTTAGCTTATGACTAGATGGCGCTTTGTAAATTGCTCAGGATTGTTATTATTATATTCTCTATAACAATATTATAGAGGTAAAGTTTTTAAGTTTGTACGTTCGGCGTTATCTCCAGTAAGTACTATTCGATTTTGAAAATTACAAAAAAAACTGTAGTAAAATGACAAAAATATGATCAAAATTAACATAATATTAGTTATCTTACAATTGTGTGGTTTGTACAAGTGTTTTAAGGATTCAAATATCCTCACCGTTGCTTCTCAATACATTTATGAAAATATCATGTATGCCAGGAAGAATATAGACAGTTTCAAAAGAGTTAGTGATTGCACTAATAAAAGCTTACGTAACAATAACAAACTGATTTTACCTAAATGTCGTTTGGCTAAAGTTAGTAATTCGTTTTATGGCAATTGCGTAAGGTTTTACAATAAAATACCAGAGTCTGTTATAAATCTGCCAGAAAAAAGATTTAAATGTCAAATAAAACACTTCCTTTGCAAAAAAGCTTACTATAAAATTGAAGAATTCGTTAACGATAATAATGTTTTTATAGAAAAACTTTAAATCTATAGCACTAACAATATTATCTGATTACACTAATAATGAGTGCGTAGCGACTTCTATGTTAATTATCGCATGCCTCTTACTTGTTATACTGTAATTATTTATATAAAAAAAACATCTATTAAAAAGAGCAACACACAAGTTTCTTGCTCATTCTTCTTGTGATGAATCTGCATTCCGAATGAGTGGTAGAATCAAAATATGACTATTCAAAAGTGCTTGTAATGAGTTTATTTGAATAAAGATTATTTCTATTTCTATTTGATCACAACCGGTAGTGATCCCGCGTTTTTTTTAATCAAAGTCAACCTTGATATTGGTACGTTAACCTACTTTATTAAAGTGAGGTTAGGCGCAAGGTCTGTACACTTCCGACAGGTCGAGATTTTTAACGATTATGCAATTGTTAGTTTATTTATTGTAATATTAGTTATGCTAGCGGTATTCAATTCAATTCGTGCGTTTATAAATGACTAGCTGCGAATTTGTCCGCGTGGAATTTAACTTTATTTTTTCTAAAATAAAAGTAGCCTAAGTTACTCCTACCCAATTTTTTTATTTCTTGAACTATTTTTGTTGTATAATTCGTCATTAAAATATATACAACCCTAAAATTTTAACGCCTCTACCATCAACCCCTGTTTTAATAGTGATATTAATTTATTAAACGAAACGTTGCCGGTTGAGTTAATTTAATTATATATTAAAAAAAACAGAAAGTGCTCACGCAACATTAACGAAAGTTGATTGACAGCGTGACTTTTACCAAAATTGGATATTAATTAAGAATGGTATTTGGATCGAGAGGTTAAATTACCTTATTTATTTGGAAAATGCACAGAATTATATTACTACAGCCGTTGTGGTATATATATATATATATATGTTAGGACACTTGATACGGCATGATGATTTCAAGAAAATTATTATTGAGGGGAAAATAGAAGGAAAGAGGGGGAGGGGAAGACCAAGGAATAGCTACATCAAACAAATTGAGGACAAAATGGGAGTCGTGTCGTATCAAGAATTAGAGAGCATGATGGAAGATCGCGGAAAGTGGCAAGAGCTCCACCGACAAGAGCGTAAAAAATGTCCTATTTGAATAAATGATTTTTTAATTAGTATGAGATGTTTAGAGAAACAAGTTTTATTAGAGAATAATTCAATGGTGCACCCTTCTGAGCTGTTTACGCTGGCGGGGCACCAGTGGAGGATGATAAGAGCATGAGGTGAGATGAGTTAGCACATCGAGACAAATTTACCAGGAATCTAAATATATATGACTCAAAAGTGCTGACTGACTTAGTGATCTATCAACGCACAGCCTAAATCACTGGTCGGATCGGGCTGAAATTTGGCATGCAGGTAGATGTTATGACGTAGGCATCCGCTAAGAAAGGATTTTGATTATTTCTTCCCCCAAGGGGATAAAATAGGGGATGAAAATTTGTCAATTTTATACCGATCGGGCTGAGACTTTGCATGCATAAAGCTATTATGACCTAGGTATCCCCTAAGAAAGCATTTTGATAAATTCCACGCCCAAAGGGATAAATTAAGGAGAGCGAAGCCGCGGGAAAAAGCTAGTGTAGCTAGCTATATATAAACCTTCCTCTAGAATCACTCTAGCAAAGGATGTTTGTTATTTTTTTTTACGCAAAAAACCAATTAATGGATTTTCATGAAACTTTACAGTAATATAGCTTATCAGAATAACACATAGATTATTTTCATGCGTGTGAAATCGCGGGCACGGCTAGTATGTAATGTTAATTAAAAACATATAAATAAAAGCAAACCCGGGCACGCGTTGCTGTGGCTAAGGTTCTTGAATAAAATAATATTGCGACTATAAATTGAGATGTAAGCTATCCTATCTTTCAAGTTGGATCAAATTGCACGCAATGTGCAAATCAAATTTGCAATCAGTTCAGTAGTTTAGGAGTCCATAGCGGACAAACAAAGTGACACGTAATTTTTATATACAAACTAATTACTCACCCCGGCTTCGCACGGGTGTTCATGTATTATATATATAAACTGTAGGGACTGGTCTGCTCTAATCACTACGACTGTTTTAATCCTATTGTGTACTTAATATCTGACCTTAATAAATTAGTGCTAGTTGGTGGTTTGTATTCGCACGTTTCGAATTGGAAATGTAAAGTTACAATGATTATTTAAAAGAGCAACACGCAAGTTTCTTGCTCGTTCTTCTTGTGATGAGACAGCTTTCCGAATGAGCGGTAGATTTAAAAAAAATTGTTGACTATTCAAAAGTGCTTAAATTAAGTTTATTTGAATAAATGAATTTCTATTCTATTCTTAAACCTTCCTATGAATCACTCTATCTATTAAAAAAACCGCTTCAAAATCCGTTGCGTAGTTTTATAGATTTAAGCATACATACGGACAGACAGCGACAGCGACTTTGTTTTATACTATGTAATGATAATGATATAAGTTTGCTAGTAGGTTTAAACAATATAAGGCTGTTAAATATAGGTATAAGGTCCTTGCTATTAAAGTGAACGTGCGTCCTTCTTGTACAGTGGCTACAGTCCACAACATTAAACTGACGCAAATATTATTCTAAGATAACGTAATGTTGGTATATATGTTAATTCAGATATTAGCTAATATATTATTTTTATTTCTTCATCATTGCCTTGCCTTTATCCCATTATTTGGGTCTGCGCAGTATGTAATTCTCTTCCACTGCTCTCTATCGGTCGTCATATCTGAGCATACTCTTCTTTTATTCATATCATCTTTCACAGAATCCATCC